CTTTAAAAAATGTAAACATCTGATATACGGTAGTAATATTGGGGGGGGGAGATTTCTTGTAAATGTAGTCATTTAGAATACATCATTTTAAAGAACATAATGAAAACACCTAAGAGATTTCTAATAGAGCACCCTTAGGTGTTGAACAGTGCATTCTGCCCATAAATATTTAATTGTTCTTACAAATAGAAAAGTTATTATATTTTGTAGCATACATTATGAAACCAGTACACTAACTTTGCAATACAGAGAACTGCTTGCATTCAGTGTGTAAGTTAAGGTTGGTGAAATGTTCTTAGACTAAATCTAGTTTATCCTGCTTTGTGCCAATACATGATCAGCTGTGTTAGGTGAAGATAAATTACTCCGCTTAACCTTAGCCATGACCAACAGCTTTGCATGGTTTGGCTTAATGCTAAGAAATATTCTGCAACCAAGGGTTTCCAAGGCTGCCAAACAACAGAAGCAACATATGGTAGAGAATTAAGTTCCCTCCACAAAATACAGTAACACCTTAGGCTTTGATTGGGGGGGGGCGGGGTATTGCTATTTTAGAATTTAAAGATTACACGTGCAATGAGAAGGAATAGGTTTACTTGAACAAGAAGTCAACGTGGTATGTGGGAACTTGAAGTCCTATTACTTTTGTTACTTTACTTTTGAAGTCCTATTACCTTTTGTTCCTATTACTAACAAACAAATTGAAACTAGAAACTAGAAAATGATAGAATGCAAAAAAATACCTCACAAACCCTTTGCTTCTTGATGGCAGATGAGAGACTTAAAATTCAGTTGATATAACCATTTAAGATGTAGCCCAAACTTCAAAAGTTCAGGAAAGCATTAAATGCATTTCAGATAAAAGATTTCAGTATTGCTCTTGACTGGAACAGAAAGGTTTCATATATCTTATGTAAAAATCCAAAGTTCTAACTCATCTTAAAGCAGGGAGGTTGAACCTGAAATCTGTGAAAATAGGTGTTCTGCATTTTCACATATACCATGCTGGTTATTGCTAAAGATGATTGGTTACTGTTCTGTTTAGAATACCACTTCCAAAATGCATGTGGCAAATTGTGAAGGCAGCCTCAGGCAAGCACTGAACAGCCTACAGTCAGGCATGATGGGCAATTCAGATAAAATGGAACAATTGTGTTTCACTGCAACAAAGTTTTCTGCAGTGAAACATAATCTAGTTTTGAATTTGAATGGCCAATTTACAGGATACAGCTTTGGCCTCCTTGCAGAATCCCTTAAAGCAATTCTGCTCAGCTGTTCAGTAGAATCCAGCACCATTTCCTTTCTAAATACTGTTCCTTTGGGAGGTTTATTGGTGAGCATAATTTGGCATAAATACAATGAAGATATTCAGTTACTGCCAGTTAGAATACCTGGGAGCAATACCAAGACACATAATGAGTTCACAGGACAAGATCCTAAGGCTTGCAGTAAGAAACAAACAAAATTAAGAAGGGGTGATTTGATGGTTTGTTCACTAAATTTCTACAATTTTGATCCTGAAACAGAATTGTAGACAGACCATTACACTGATTTAGTATGGCATTCTCTGGATTTTTCAAATCCCAAGCTTTTACAGTGAAAGTTCTTTTGTGGCGTTACACAAATAATGGGGAAGGCTAAGCCTCCACATCTCCAAGAAGCTGCCTTCAATTGAGTGCATCTGATCTCACTGAGGCTGCCAACAGCCTAGTGGGTTATTGTCCAGAAATTGAACAAGTGGAGCATCCACAGGGCAAGAGGTACAAAGGAACCAGCAGCACCTGAAAGGAACAGGAAAAGGTGCAAGGAAAATAAGAATGGGGTAGAATGAAGTAGGGCCTTGGCAGTCCAAATCCGAGAGGTCCTGAGAGCTGTCTACTGAAGAATGGGTCCAATTTTGTTATTTCCAAGCCAATATTGCTACAGAGTCCTATACAATTTTAACTTTGGAAAGTAAACCCTGTCCAAATTAATTGCGTTTCAGGGTGGCCCACATCACCTGATTGAGATCCTTAAACAACAGATGAATGGGTACAATAAGGAATCCTCAGTTGATAACTATCCCAACCACCAAACTAAATAAAACACCACCAGGTTATTCCTCACATGCACAAGAAACCTCCATTTCCTTTAGAATAGATGTTCTGTTGTTGCAGCACCATTGTAGCCTAGTTTCCTGACAGTAATGAACACATATCCTAAAAATACTTTCATCCTAGAAAAGTATTCTTGCTTTCTTATCATCTTCACAGTACAGTGGTACCTCGCAAGACGAATGCCTCGCAAGACAAAAAACTCGCTAGACGAAAGGGTTTTTTGTTTTTTGAGCTGCTTCGCAAGACGATTTTCCCTATGGGCTTGCTTCGCAAGACGGAAACATCTTGCAAGTTTGTTTCCTTTTTCTTAACACCGTTAATACAGTTGCGACTTGACTTCAAGGAGCAACTCATAGAACACGGTGTGGTAGCCTTTTTTAAGGTTTTTAAAGACTTTGGTATTTTTGAAGCTTTTCCAAAACTTTCCTGACACCGTGCTTCGCAAGACGAAAAAAATCGCAAGACGACAAAACTCGCGGAACGAATTAATTTCGTCTTGCGAGGCACCACTGTACAAAATTAGTCCTAAATAAAAGAACACTGAAGGCATTTCTCCCAAATTGTAATTGTTGTTTCAAAGAAGCACACACCACTCCTTAGGGCATAGGTCTCCACAGTAAATACCTGTAAACAAGTGAATACCTTCTCTGGGGACAGGATTTCAGTTTTTTAAAATAACACTATTTGTGCCCATTGTGGTTACAAGCAACCATGGTGACAGTATAGCCGGACTATATAGTATAGCAGGAGATATGCTTGAGGTTTCCTTTTAAGCACACACCTGTCTCAAAGATCTGAAATACTACACTGAACAAAAAGATTCTATACTTGCACATCCTGAGGCACAGCCTACACACTCTCAGAAGCAAACATGGAGCTCTTGTATTAAAGGATGCTCCAGGAACACTTCCAGGCTTTCATGGGCAGAAAGGATCTGAATCAGGACAACTGTGTGCCATACCTGACTCCTGGATTTGTATCCAGTGTGTATATAAATAAACGCTTGGTTTCTATATCACATAACTCAATAACATAATTTTTCTATTTTTGCCCTAATTGGCAAATGCCTTCCCATTTGACTGTTTTTAAAATCTACTTTTTACACTAGATGATCCACAGCCACTTTTGTATGCATGTGTATATATGGATTTTCTTACACATGTTATATATAAATAATTATACTGTAATTCTGTGGAGATCCAGCAATGTTACTGACCAAGTGTGCCTAGCGAAAGAATTGCTTGCAGGCTAGATAGAAATAATGTTATGAAATTTCACTCATTATTTTATTTGGCTTTCTGTTTCTCTTTCATATGCTGTCAACCCTTCTATTTTATCTCTGGGATGGTGAATTACACAAAATAGAAAAATGAAACTCTTATTCAAGAGAAGGGGGAAAGCACATTTCTGAAATTCACTTGCTACAGTGATGAGGGACAAACATGGTTCCCCAAGCCTAGATTCCCCTTACACTGATGCACTGTTCAACACTGTTACAAGAAGAGCCCTGTGCAAATTATTTCTCAGTATCAAACCAGATGGCATCACACCCAATGAGAAATCCATACATGCCAAAATTCACACACAGATGTTCTGCATTTGTGGGGCTGTGTCCACTTCAACAGAAGGAGCTGATTAGCGCGCACACAAAAAAATAAAAGTGAGCCAATCATGCCCTTCCACCAAAGTGAATGGGGAAGCCGGGGGGAGGGAGAGGGGAGGAGCTCAGTGGCCTGGAGCTCCTTTGCCAATTAGCAATCTCTTAATCAAGGGTGTTATGATTCCCTGCCCCGGGGAAGATTGAGATGGTTGTCCATACTAAGTGAGTCGGCAAAGTTACCATAGCATAAAAAAGTTATGTTGTAGTTGCAAGAATCAAATTAAAGCATGTAAAGCATCGTGAGTATGATTGTCAGGTTGAAACCTGACAAATGGCTATTTTGTCATTTAATGACGGACTGTGCTAATGCCACACAACCTACAGCAATCCCATAAATGAAGAAAAGGAAATGAATTCTAATGTTTCTATTATTTGCAATTCCGGAGGCAGCTAAGCTACTAGAAAAACAGTGGCTGCGAAGGAGAGAAAATATCAAAGCTGATGTTAACACCTTATTGGCAGTCTCAATTAATGCTATAACAATATGAGGGCATCAGAACGAATATAGAAGCAAGTTAACTTTTGCATTTGGCACCTGTGTGTCTAGATATTCATAGTTCTCAAGTATCTCATTGTATAATATTATTAATGCATGCATCTGTTAATGCATGTCAAAAGTTTGCTACGTATTTACAAGGCACCAAGCCCCACCCACCCCTCTTTCTCCCTCTCATTTTTAAAACATGAATTAAGAACCAATGAGAAAAGCATACCGAGATACCCAAGTATGAACATACTTCATGAAAGTTTGGCTTGGAAAGATTGAAATTATTCATATTCTGTGCACAACAGAGAAACTGTAAACATTTTATAGCTGCCTTTAAGATCGGTGAATTGTGCAAAAGTTATTACTGAATGTAAGGAATTCATGGCAGACAATTCAAAATCTCTGTAAGAAGGTGCTGTTTCTATAATGCACAAAACACACAAAACCAAAAAAGAAAAACAAGGGGAGACATCAAAATCATGATTCCATTGCCACTGTCCTCCTATGACAAACTCAAAGTGTAGTGTGGGAAAGTATTTCTGCAGATATAGAATGAATGGGCAAGGCTTCTTTTGGCCAAGAACATGTGGCAATCAGAAGTCTTTGAACATACATATGGGCAAAATGGAAAAAGCACCACAGAAAAATGTGAGCAGAGTCCCCACACAATTTGCGTTGTAGATTTTCTGGCAAAAATCCCTGCAGTAGAAGGCCTTAGATCGTCAAACACCATTGTTCACTTCCAGTTTCCCATTTGTCAATAATTCCATCCCATGAGATGGCTGACCCTGGCCTTTTCTGTCATTTTCCGCACCCTGCCTGACCTAGAAGTACCAAGGTTCAGGGGATCCTCAGTGTGCACAAAAGTGTCATTGTCTGAATCGTCATTATATAAAACGGTTCGCCTGCCCTCATTCCTAGTTTTAATCCGAGGCGGCCTGCTGAACCGCCCACCAAATGTGTTCTCACTGAAGCGTCCCCCCAAAAGATTCTCAAATTCATCATCGGCAATTCGTGGGCGCTTGGCTCTGGAGGCTCCTCTGGAGGCTCCTCTCCCTCTCCCTCTTCTTCCTCCCCTGCCTCCTCTTCTTCCTCTGCTACAGCCTCTTCCCCTCCGGCTGCCTCGCCCCCCTCTGCTCCACCTACCCCACCGGCCCCATCTCCCTCTCTTTCCTGTCCCTCTACCCTGCCAATTTCTCTGCCCACTGGAGATGTTCCTTCGGATTTTTCTTTTCGGTTTCACTTGCACAGATTTGCTGTAGTCATGGTCTCCATCTATGTAGTCCTGATCTGTTCTAGAGCTTGATTCAGAGTCAGAATCAGAGCCACATCCGCTTTCAGAACTTGAGCTTGATCGTGAATCTCCACTTTCTGAGGAGGATAAACCTGGCTTTTCTTTTTCTTCTCTTTTCTTCTTTTCACCAATGGGTTCGTCCTCTTCTGATGCACTTGAGAGCTTCCGCTTGACTGTTGCTCGGGGCTCTCTCCCATCACCATTTGTCAAGGGCTTATCAGAAGGCTGATCTACAGAAATTCAAACAAATGTATTTGTCAACGATGCTGCTACAGAGCTAGATCTCAGTTTCCTGGAGAAAACAAAATATTTTTTTCCAGCCTGGAAGAAATTTACTCATAGAACAAGCAGTCTTGTTTCAAAAGTTCTCTGCCTACCAAGATGAAAGTGGATTATTCATTACACCTGCTCAAAGGTAAGCAATTTTAATCTGAAACAAAGAGTTGGTTTTTAAACAAATACATGATTAAGTGCATTGCTGAATCAAGAGGCAGACGCCTACCCATGAGACTGGTACTGGGCCTCTGCAAGGCTGAGCCCAACCACCCAACAGATCACAGGGATATTGCAATGCTAGGGATGCTGAGCCACACTTGCAACAACAACAAAAAATTTATTTACACCCCATCATTTTCCCTGACAGGGACTCAAAGTGAGTTATAAAGAACAACCTCCTGCTTCTACTCCTTTTTATCCTTGATTATGCCTGGCCTACATCCCCTGAAGCCTTCATTTTGTAACCAATAACTAAACGCAAGTTTGCTACATAACACCTATCCAATGGACCCTGGAACTGCCCACCATTTCCCTAAGCCAGTCTGTCAGGTATCTCCTGTCAGTCCTCTTCAGATGCAAAAGGGGTACTTGACTGACTTTGAAACTTATTGGTCAGAAGGAGTCATGGGTTACTTGCCCTGGAGAGGGGACAGAGACTTTATGAGGCTGAGTTTTACTTGCAGCTTGTTCCCTCCACTGTCAGGGATTTGGCTGGACTTGCTATGAAGATAGATTTTTAAGTAAATTAGAACCATTGTAATGTAGTGGCTAGGCTAGGATTAGTTTAGTTTGAAAGCCACGGTACTCTGGCCTATTTTGTATTTTGTTGGACCTTCTGCTTGCTTTTCCTCTATCGTTTATTCATAAGAAAGTTTTATAATTTGACCCCCAAAGTGTGTGATTGCCAAACCTCAGGGTTTCAGGATCCCCGTGTGCCTAGATTCTTGAAATTCATGCCACCTGATGTTTAGGATTGGAGTTGTAAGTAACCAGCCTACTCTTCTGAGGTCTGGGAGAGACTCATGAGAGTGTGAGGGCTGCCTTTAGACTCAGAGCCACTCACAAGGAAAGTCTGCAAAGTAATTGCTTTAGTGCATCCCAGATCCCCTCCCATCTGGACTGTCAAAGTAAGTGGAAGGGTGGTGGCAGCAACTACTAGTAGTACTGCAGGGTTATTGTTGGGCAGTGAAGTGGGTGTGAGAAGCTTCTATTGGGCTTCCCACCCTTCACCACACTCCTAAACATGTGTGCTAGCTAATCAGTTTGTGGAAGCCAGGAAAATGACATCTCTGCAAAGAGAGGATTAAAATAAAAAAGCTCAAAATTGCACAGCTGTTACAGACCACCATGGACCTTTCTAATGGTTAGTGAGCAGGAAACCGACCCACTACCCTAAACTAGCCCCCACCTGCCTGCCTGCCTGCCTACTTTACAACCATCAGACAACGGTGGCCCTGGCTGTCAGCCCCTTCTCCTTTATCTCAGCATTGTCTTGTAGAACTCAGCAGAGAGGAGGATGGGGACAACTATAATTAACTGAGACAACTTGTTATAGGCTCTGGCGCCACCTGCTGCTGGCTTCCCTGCCTTCTACCAAAGCAGTCCCTGCCTTCTACCCAAGCAGTCCCATTAAGCACAACCACCACTGTATTTCTGTTAAAAATACCACACTTTGGGAGGTGGCCCATTAGGAATGCGCTTCCTCCCAGAGAGAACTTTGCCACATTGTTGCCCTGTGACTAGAGAAGGGAGAGACACAGGGTGATCTGGTGCACTATCTAACAGTACATTTGCTTCACAAAACACAAGAATCAGAATCACTCGTAACCAAATAAAACCCTTGACCAGTGGTTTTCACCCTGTGTGCCATGGTTGTGTCACTTGATTGTCAGAGGTGCCACAGGCAACACTGGCCTGTGTCCCTCTTTCCTTCCCTTCCTCTTCTGATGCCCTCTCACATCCTTGCTTCCCAAAGGTTTGCACAGCTGTTTTTCTCAGCAGCCCTAACTGCAAGCTCCCCAGGTGAATGGTGCTTCTGGGGCTGGCCAGGTGGTCCTTCCCAGGCCCCTGTGAGGCAGTGGGAGGAGGTACGTCTCTTGGGAGTGGGATTGGGAAGCTCAGAGACAAGAGGCGGCAGCTATGACTGCCCATAGGAGTTCCAAGGAAAAGGAAGAAGAGAGGAGGCTGAGGGAACCCTCCACAAGGGAGGGGTGAGGGGCTGCCAGCTCTGCAGGCAAGGGGTGACATAACTGGGCCCCACAGAAATAATGTAGCTGGTCAAGGGAGCTGTGGACCCAAAAAGGTCGAAAACCTCTGACCTAGACACACACACCCAAAAGGAGGGGGGAGAGAGAGGGAGAGGGAAAGCTATAGAAAGAGGGAATCTTTATTCCTCCAACTTCTCACCTTGTGTAACTGGTGTGGATTTATTTCTAACTAGCCTATTTTTCCCTGGTTCAGCATCATTTCCGCTATGATTTTGGGTGTTTGAGCCAGATGAAGAAGGATGACCGTCCATCTCTTCAGCAGCAACAGCAGAGCCAGGTGGTTCCTCAGTAGTATCTGAAAATTTAAACATGATGTCACAAGTTTCGCAATGGATGGAAAATGTTAATGAATTTGAAAGTAGAAGTATTGCATTCATTTGCTTTAGTGGCATGTGAGTGTGTAGGCCTCAAATCCTTGATGAGTGCATTCAGTGAAATTTCTTTCAGTTATGATTGCACTGCTTAGTGCAATGTTAACAATCATACAAATAATTGGAAGTCACAGAAGACAGATTCCTTAAGACGCCAGGCCTTTACCTGGTGGGAGTCGATTACTGACTTAGGAGAGGCTTCTAGCACACTAACACATTTCTCTAATGTAGGGGTAGGAAACTCGTGACTCTTCAGAATGTGTTTGACTCTCATCACCCCTAGACAGCAAGGCCAATGGTCATATGCATGAATTTACAAACATAAATATACAATTTCCAAATCCCTTAGTGGGGGGATCACATACATTTGGAATGAAAGAAGCAAAGATGGAAGTTGGACAGAAATGGGCAGTAACAAATACTGTGACTTGGTACGTGCTGTTTCATCTACACATTTTTGCATGTAGGCAAACTATGAACATTCCTGAGGATGCTGGGGGGCAGAACAGACTGGAGAAGAGATCTGGCACTCTGTGGCAAAGGGCAAGGTATGCAGTATAATTTGGGGGGGGGGGGGAAATATCAGCATCAAAGGAACATAAAGGGCAGAACACCTTCCTCGGTGATATAGAGATCAATTATAGGGTATGGGTAAGATGGTGTATCCTCTCTGTCTGCCTAGGCCCCTGGGACTCAACTGGTACAGGCAAAAGCAAAGGGTCCTTGTAGTGAAAGCAAGGTGGAAAAGTGGAGTGCAGAAGCGGAAAAGGCAATGAAAGGTTATTGCTTCCAAGTTCACTTACCATGAGATGAAACTGAAGAATTAGTCCTAGTTAAAGGCAGTGAGGTATTCAGGTTTGTTTTAGGCTGCATCGGTTGCTTTTGTTTTCCTTTGGGGCTATAAGCATGACAAAAAATAGCAATGCATTATTCTTAACGACCTCTGTGAAGTCTGAAAGGTCAATTATGTCTACGTTGTGTCTTTCATTGCGACTCAGCATGCTTATAATTATATTGCATTTCCCCCACGAAAATCTGCTTTCACTAATTTTGTTGTGGTACATAAATTGCTGCAGAGGCTGGATGTTGAGGCGGAGTGGATGGTAGTGGCATAAAACAAATGTACTACTAAATTATTATTTATTTAAAACATTTTTTATAGAGTTGGAAAGGACCATGAGGGTCATCTAGTCCAACTAGATGTACTACTAAATTATTATTTATTTAAAACATTTTTTATAGAGTTGGAAAGGACCATGAGGGTCATCTAGTCCAACCCTCTGCAATGCAGGAATCTCAACTAGATCATACAGGACAGATGGCCATCCAACCTCTGCTTAAAACCCTCCAAGGAAGGAGAGTCTACCAGTTATGTTCCACTGTCGAACAGCTGTTACTGTCAAAAAAGTTCTTCCTGATGTTTAGTCAAAATTCCTTTCTTGTAACCTAAATGCCACCGCCCTCCCAAGGAAGCTTACACAACTCTTAAAATGCATGAAAATATAATTACAAGACATGAGCAGCAGTTAAAAATGTTACAGAGTGCAGCATGGCTCGTCCACAAGCAGACATGAATAAATGTGTTGTCAGAGGGTTTATTTATTTTAAAGGCCAAGGTGATGGGGCTTTATGTATCTCCTCAGGGAGGAGGTTCCAAAAGTGTGGGCTACTACTCAGAAAGCTGTATGCCTAGTAGTCCACACACAGTCCAGTAAGCTCTCACTAAACGAACGTCAATGTGAGATCATACATTTAGCAAGTATCAGAATTGTTACCTGGGTGACCTGCTGCTAGAGGAAGAACTGCTGCTGCTCCGCAGTTGTTTCCGGTACCGTAGCCGTGGCCTTCGCCTCTTCTGATATTGCACTGCTGACTTGTATTCAGAAATTATAGTTTTAATATGATTTTCAAATAAGGCAGATAGTCGGAGTGTCATACTGTAGATCTGGTAGGGGAGGAAAAGAGGGGCAGAATGATCACACTTGAGAGTGAATGTCTGTGTAGAAGACTTGCATGATTTAGGCTGAGGAGACCTGGATTCAAATCCCTGTTCAGTAACAAAGTTTGCTGGGTCTCTGGGCCAGTCACTACCTGTCAAAATGGGAGTCACAGTGCATAGCACCCCCAGCCTCCTTGGAGGATGGAAATGATTAAACACTCAGTTGCTTTGTAGAGGTGGCCATCTATTTTAAAAAGTTAAGCAAAACCTCTGTGAATTTAACATAGAGGAGCAATTCTTTAACATAGAGGGTCAGCAATTCTTCAATATTCAACATGAGATGAAGAGTGATGTTTGGAGAGGCAGGCTGTGCAGAAGCTAAAAATGAGGGGTACCAATAGCACTGCTGCTAGTCCAGCCAGTCCCTGCTCTCATGAGTTTCAGGATAGTTGGAGAAGCTCAGAACTTTCATACTCTGCAGCATAAACCTTGGGATTCCCAACCAAGAAGATGAATGAGTATTGGATATGGCACAATGGCACATTTATAAAATGGTTGGCAGAGTCAGCCAAGTCTATCTGCTGGCAGTACAGGGGACAAGTAGGAACTTCTTTTCCACTGATAGCATACATGCTCGAAGGCAGCTGCTTATTGGACAGTTACTATGAAACACATTCACACGATTACACACACAGCTTGAATCTAGAGCCTCTAGTAATCTTCCTTACATATATTAAAAATATTATTATTAATATAATCTGCCCTTTAATCTGAAGTTTCAGCAAGGTACACAATGTTTCATTAAAATACAACATATCAAATACAACGTAAAACCCATAAAACTGATGACCCTCAAAAAGAAGCAATCCAGCAGTGGATGTAGTTAAAACTAAGCCTAAGAAATTCATATTACATGTGGTTATAACGGTAAGAATGCTTTGTGTAAAATAACAAAGAACAGATCAAACATAAAATGAAGAAGAGTGACAATGTGCCTTGTTAAATTACACTATTACAGCTAAATGAACTGACAAAGCAAAGAGAAACAAAGCAAATATTTTAACTATTCATTAACCTTTTATTCGCCTATTGTGCGAAAAAAATAGGAAGCTGCCTTGTAGCCTATCAGGCTATTGGTTCATCTAACTGGCAATTCCCTCTTTCCTAGGGCCAGGCAGAGAAGTCTTTCCCAGCCCTGCAGTCCAATATCCTCATTGCATCAAAGTGTGTTGGAGACTAAACCTGGAACAGACTGCATACTAAGCATGTGCTCTGTCACTGAATTATGACCCAAACCATCCCTGGGTCTTCTCAGGCTGCTGTCTGAGGACTAATGGGGCTACTGATGGTCCCAAAATTATGCACAAGCCACCAAAGAAAGAAGACCAAGGAAGTTGCCTGGTACCCAAGTCAGCTTGTTTGTCACCCTAGCTGATTATTTCCTATACCAGTTGAGGGAGTTGGGTATGTTTAGCCTGGATAAGAGGAAACTGAGAGGATATGATGGCCATCTTCAGATATCTAAAGGATTGTGACATGGAAGCCTGTTTTCTCCTGCTCCAAAGGCTTGGACTCTCACCATGTGCATACCATCATGTAACCTGCATTAGGAAGCCTATCAGGGCAACAGTCTTTAGTAAAGGCCTGTATTTTGGGACTATTATACTTTATTTGCATGTGTCAGGCTGGAGGCTTGCAGTCATAGGCACCACCACCACTTCTACATCTTACCCTTGATTTCTTATTAGGAGTGTATGCTTTGGAGTTGCAGAATATCAGACGAACATCTTTGTAGAACTCAAGGGGGTTCATGTAATTTCCTACTTCCAAAGTTTCTTTCACAGTGCTGAAGTCCATTGGAGTATCCACTATATCACGATAATCCTACAAGCAACATTTATATGTGTTAAATGAGTAACATTGCCACATTACAGCGATATGGTTAGATACTGCACTTATTGAAGAATGGCTGCTTCCAAAGTTATTTCACAAAAACCAGCTGTAAAACTTAACACTCCACAGGCAATAAAACTTAAGGTCTGGATGCACATTAAAAAGGCAGATCGCTTCAAGACATGCGTTCTCACTGTGATGATTTCTGAGGTGGAACAATTCTGAAGATACTACAAGCAAAGAAATAATCATGGAGTGAATGCATTTGCTGCTAGTCCACCTGCCAAATTTCTCAGTGCTCTATAAGCAGGAAGGGAGAAAAGAGAAATATTGTATGGGGGAGGGGAAAGGAAATATTTTTACTATGTGGAATGTCCTTATGGGATATTACAGGAACTGATTTTAAAAAACAACAATAAACACTAGAGATTTTAGTGCTAAAACTGGCAAAATTGAATTAGCAAACACAAGTACATCAGAGCTTTCCAAACTTTTCATGTTGGTAACACATTTTTTAGACATGCATCATTTTGTGACACGGTAATTCAGCAAACCAGAGACTAAACTAACCCCTTTACAGCCCCGGGAGGACTGCAGGGAGTGTTCACATGTTATACCTACACACTGCAGCCAACACACTAAGGTGTCACAACACACAGTTTGGAAAGCTCTGTAGTACATAGTCATACTTCAAATTAAGTAAGGGGCAGGACTGTTTACTTTACTGTGCAAGTTGTACAAGCACAGCTTCCAGAAGAAATACAGGATTCAGATCCCAAGAACCTCAGGTTCTTTTCTTTTTTGTTTTTTAAAGCAAGCAACCACAGAGTTGGAAGTATGTGAGTAACGCCTAAGAAAACTCTGTGAATACTGAGAACATTGTGGTGCTATTATGGAAGGTAGAGTTTCAGTGCTTCACACAATTCTTTACTCCTCCTTCCTGAACTAAAGAAATGAAAGCAACTTACAGGGTAAGAAAAGAGATCAACAGGTTGTCGGAATGGCTCAGAATCTTCACGTTCATAGATGAGGCTTAATAGCTGTTTGCACTTATCTTTCCAGGCGTCAGCACGTGGCTTGGAAGGCTGCTTTTTTATCTGCTGCTTTATCTGAACCTTTTAAAAGGGGAGCAACAGCAACATGTACGTTTTATGACAAAATTCTCCTTCCATCTTGTTTAATTTATACTGATTCAGTTCCAATTTGACAGAGGCAGGTGAAAGGTAACTCAGAGATTCATTTTGTGTTGACAGATATATAGTTTAAAACTCTACTTATAACTGGCTCTATACAAACTGGCTGAAGAAAGGTGCTGTCAGACACAGGTCAGTACGAAAGACACACGGCTCCATTGTCAGTGAAGTTAACTCTGCTCCTTCATCATCAGTACGAAAGACACACGGCTCCATTGTCAGTGAAGTTAACTCTGCTCCTTCATCATTCAGCCCTTCCTCCCAGGCCTCTCCCTCTGACCTCCCCTCAGTATCCCTCCACTAGTCCCAACTCTGATCCTCCCTTCCCCTTGGAGGTTCCCCACTACTCCTCATCAGCCAGCCAGTCCCTGACAGGTAACTAAGCAGCACTCACAGTTCTTTTCCCAGATGAGGTTCCTGGACCATCCGAATCAGCATACGTTTCTGTCACCTCTTCTTCATTTGCGCTACTCAGGTCTTCAGCTTTCACTTTGTTATACATCTCCAGAATATCTGTGCAACTCTGATCCCTAAAGGATAATATGATTATCAGCATTGGGGCCAACAGAGAGTCACGGACTGCCGGGACTGTAAAAGCAACATCATCCTTGCCCAGACGAATTACAAATTAAGGGCTGATTTGTGTGTAATTGGCATATCATGCTTGCTGAACCCGCATGCCAGATACTATGCAACACCACTTTGAGTTTATTAGCAGATGGTCAGATCATGTGGGAAGCAGGGCTTCTTCATGAAAAATTCCCACAGTCTTATCTCCATAGTGGGCAGGACAAAAGTGAAGGAAGAGGTGATGGGAGAAGAAATTATTTGGTAGCATAAAGAAAGGGATGTGCAACACAGATGCACACAATGCTGATCAGAGAAGTTTTAGGGAAAGTATTTGGAAACTGTGGAAATGGTAGTTGGCAAGAAAAGTGACAGCTCACCCAATGTAGTGAAGTAAGACATCCGTTACTATTTTGGCTGCTTTAACTATAGGACTATCGGGCTCATTGAAAGTCCTAGCGTTATGTTCAATATATCGTACCTCCCACATTAGTGCTGATATTCTCCTGAAAAAGGAAGAGAACAAATTTGTAAAATTAATAAAAACAAATTAATAAAAACAAAAAGAAATATGTGCCATGCTCATTCTGTAACCTAAAATCATTTTTACAAAAGCCTGCATGTGCTTTTCATAAACAATGAAGCACCAATCTGGCAGAAGAGCAAAATACAAGAAGCAGGGAAAACATCAACAATTCTTAGGAGCCAGGAAATGAAATCATGAGTGATTGGGAAACAGGGAAAACCCCACACATCCTGGTCTACATCAGAAATATAGTTAACAGGGGAGAATCTTAGATGCTGCAAGTAAGTTACGACTCTCTTGCAGCATTTTCCTGATTAAGCAAAGCTGCGGGGGGGAATTCACTAATACTACAGCAGATACAATTTAGCAAAAGTTAGCAACTTTTTTAAAAAAAAAAGACAAGAGATACTCAACAATAGACAGTGGAAAGAAATAATCAATCTGACCTGTAAAATCTGTTTTCAAGTCTTCTCCTTATTGTGGTGAGGTCAGTTGGGTAAGCAACAACAGTGCAATATAGAGGATAGGCACTAAGGTCCACTGGGACAGCAAAAGGGTTGGATATATCTTTAAAAAGGTAGCAAAGAAAGCTGATTAAAGTCCACAAGCTATGCCGGTCAAATGGTGAAACTTAGAAGCATTATATTATATTATATTATATTATATTATATTATATTATATTATATTATTAATGCTTTAAAAAAAAAAACCTGCCCAATAAGGTAATACGATGATCAGTATAGTACTTAAAATTATTGTCGCCCTAACTATGTCATGGAAAGTTCACCACCTTGCAAACTGACAGCAACAGAATGTGTGCAAGAGCATGAGATGAAACCTGTAATAGATGCCCGATTACAATGATACAGTGGTACCTCAGTTTAAGAACAGTCCTGTTTATGAACGATTCAGTTTACGAACTCCGCTAAACCGGAAGTAGTGCCTCCGTTTGCAAACTTTACCTTGGTCTAAGAACAGAATCCGAATGGTGGAAAGGCACCGGAAGTGGGAGGCCTCATTAGGGAAAGTGTGCCTCGGTTTAAGAACGGACTTCTGGAACAGATTAAGTTCGTAAACCGAGGTACCACTGTATATAATTAGGAAGAAGTGTCCATGGTTAGGAAGGGCATGGGCATGGGAAAAGACAGAGACATGCATGTTGGACAGAAAGAATCGGCTAGGGCAGTGAAATGAAAAGCAGGGACCTCAGGGAAGCATGGTGGATGGGGCAGAGGCTCAAGGTAAAGAGAGACCAAAGAAGCAAAATTGGATGTTGGTGGGGGAAGAGAAGAAAAACTCTGAATGGAGCATTAAATAAATTATTATTAATAATTGTTGTTGTTACCGCCACCTGCCCTTCACCAGAAGGCCCTGCAGTGGGTCACAACAATTTAAAATCCACTATTAAAAATAGCTAAAACTAATTAGTTACAGGAATAGGGTGGGCTCTGAAAACACACATCTTACGTGTGAAAGGCTAGGGGAGTGTGTCTTCAGCATTTACTGAAAGCTGTACAGTGAAGAAGCCCAAGACTTCTCTGGCTTCTTATACAGCAAAGGGGCCAGCACAGAGAATGCCCTGAAAAACAGTACTGCAGTTGCCTAAAGAGAGCCCTGGGAAACAAAGAAGCAGTGGTGCCAAAGTGCATGGGGTTGCGATGGGGACATGAATTTGAACTAAACAGGTAAGAGAGATCTTCAGACACAAGTTCAGTTTGCTAGTATATCTGTTGCTGCACTTAAAAGCTGTATGCAAAGCGGTCAAACTTCAGTGGTACCTCTGGTTAAGAACTTAATTTGTTCTGGAGGTCTGTTCTTAACCTGAGGTACCACTTTAGCTAATGGGGCCTCCCACTGGTGCTGTGCCGCCGCCACAAGATTTCTGTTCTCATCCTGAAGCAAAGTTCTTAACCCGAAGTACTATTTCTGGGTTAGCGGAGTCTGTAACCTGAAGCATCTGTAACCTGAAGCGTCTGTAACCCGAGGTACCACTGTAGTGTGCGCCTGTTGTAAGATCCTTAATACCAAATAAATGTTTACGTACTTCCTTCTGGATTTCTGTTTACCCAAATCCCAGTTTCATATCAGCTACATGCCTGGAATCACTTATCGACATAATTTTTCCACTCCAGCTGGTGATTACAAGAGTTCTGAAACTAAGAATAGTGCCCGAGTTTGCTTTCCCCCACTCCCAATACCTTGTCCTCTTGAGATATGTCTTTTAGTTTGAAAGCGTGAGGACAAGAACTGTCTTATCATTGATATCTGCAAGCCACTGCAGGAACATTATTTAACTGAAGAACATTCTTTAACTGAATTCTTTATCTCACTTTAACTTAAGAGTGAAATAATAATGCTTTAAAATAAGTAAATAGATATGCTAAGGGTGTTGCCATCTGTGTTTGTTGGTCCCTGGCATCATCTCCAAGTCTTCTTTTGAGGTCCACATACCTAAGGATAGAAGTTGATCAATACCGCGAAGAACCCGCACACATTCTTCATCTCGGGAATGGGATCCCCATTCACCTTCCTGTGGTTTGTACAGCAAAGATGCCAGCTCCTCTGTTGTCACAGGAACACCAGCCCCAACCTCCTCCGGATAAGCAGCTACAGAAAACCAGGGTCAGGGGGGAGGGAGACAGAGACAGAAAGACATACCCATTAGAGCCTCTGCCACTGTACTTATTCACAAATTATTGATACCCAATGAAGGGGATGGGGGAACATATTTACTTCCTTCTGGAATTGGCTCCATGTCCCAGGGGCTCATCTTTTCTCTTTCATTATTGTCCCAGCTGTTAGAACAAAAAATGTATTTAAAGACTTAAAACATATACAGATCTAGTGCAGAACAGTAGCGGTGGCCAGACAGCAGGATCTCCAAGACCAATTTCAGTGCCCAGAAATATTCATATGGGTGGAAGCAATCATTCAAGTAACTAGTCTGAAGCTGCTAAGGCATTTATTTCAACATTTATCACACTGTGACTACTTGTGAAGTGACTGAAAGCTGTATCCAATCACGTGTTGCATGCAGCATTCAGCCATAAAGAGAATTTAATTCTAAATCAATCACACCATGGTGTGTTGTCAAGTGCCGCAACAAGATATAGTCTACATTTTATTTATTTTAAAGCATTGATATAATGATTTTTTGCTTGAGAAGTCTCCAAGTAGTTTTAACAAAAACAAGCAACTGAATACTAATCCAAGTGAAACAACAAAAAAATTAAAAGTTTTAAATTCATACACATACAGACCACATCAATAAAAAGTTCTTTTTAAGTACTGTATATAAAAGGTAAAGGACCCCTGACAATTAAGTCCAGTCGCGAACGACTCTGGGGTTGCGGCACTCATCTCACTTTACTGGCCGAGGGAGCCGACATTTGTCTGCAGACAGTTTTTCTGGGTCATGTGGCCAGCATGACTAAGCCGCTTCTGGCGAAAACAAAGCAGCGTAAGGAAATGGCGGAGCGGTACCTATTTATCTACAGTGGTACCTCGGGTTAAGAACTTCATTCGTTCTGGAGGTCCATTCTTAACCTGAGGTACCACTTTAGCTAATGGGGCCTCCCGCTGCCGCCACCCCACCGCCATGCGATCTCTGTTCTCATCCTGAAGCAAAGTTCTTAACCCGAGGTACTATTTCTGGGTTAGTGGAGTCTATAACCCAAAGCATCTGTAACCCGAGGTACCACTGTACTTGTACTTTGACATGCTTTTGAACTGCTAGGTTGGCAGGAGCTGGGACCGAACAACAGGAGCTCACCCTGTTGCGGAGATTCGAACCGCCGACCTTCTGATCGGCAAGCCCTAGGCTCAGTGGTTTAGACCACAGCACCACCCGCGTCCCTTTTAAGTACACAAACACACACACACACACACACACACACACACACACACACAGCAGACGCATAAGACAGTCATTAAATGTCTTGGAAAATAAAGAAGTCCAAAAGTGGATTATATTGGTGGCTCTAAAGCCTAAGGTTAATGGAACCACCAATAAAAAGGTCCCATCTGTGACTGACAAAGTAGAAGCCATTTGGAGAAAAGCTTCCAAATGAGAACACAATGTTTAAGCATGTTAAGAGGGGAGAAGGTCAGAAACTATAAATTCCCACCACCCTACATAGTTGCAGCATAATGATGTAAGAGGTTGCCTTATACCTGGGCCAGACAGCCCCAGATTGGCCAAAATCATCCCACCTAGAGCAACCTATGGCTGTCAAAGGGAAGAGTGGTTAGGCACCAGAGAAGGAGAGGCAGGCAGCCTCTGCCTCACTGGCATACACAGCAAGCAAAAGCTTTGGGCTGTTTATCCCAAGGTCTCTCTTTGCACTAATGGAAACTATTTCTGCTCATGGAGTTAATGGAACCCAATTTTTGTCAATTTTTGTCATCTCTACCTCCTGTGCCATATCCCACACTTTCCCAGGAGGTCTCCCAACCCTTAAGAGCAGGTTTTTTGGCGATATGGAAGGCTGTAGGGGGTAGGAGAGATGAGGAAAAACTAGGTGCTCCACCCTGCATAAACTGGACACAACCTATTGCTTTTTCGTAAGCGCTGTAACTGACTGCTAAGTAGTTGCTAAGCAGTATAATGCTGCTGGCTCTTTGCTGCTGAGATATAATGTTTTAAACGTCTAGTCTTGTTTTATTGCTGCTAAGTCTGTACTATGATTTTATTTTGTTAGCTGCCTTGTGGATCCTTATGGTTCAAGAGACAGGTACAGATACTGTATGTACATCATTGTATCAATCAGCGAGCATGTTTGCTTAATTCACTTAGAAATACAGGTTACAGAACTCAGCTTTTCTTGCAGTGGTCTTTAAAAAAAAATGCATCAAAGTACACACAGCCCCACTCATAGTCATTCTTACTGAACACTGTAGCACTGGAAGGAACTATCAGGATAATCGGACTGGAATGGTTGTTGACTCTCTACCGTTCCAAACCACCATGCATCATCTATTATGCTGCGGAATCTATCTCCTGCAACAGAAAAAGTTGGAATGAGCCAAGTGATATATGCAGAAAAAGCACAAAAATACTAATAGTGGTGTGCATTTTTTTTAGAGTGTTGTTTCTTTTTTCAGTTTTTCTCATTAAAACATATACACTGCAATTGAAATATAGTCATTTACAAAATGTGTAAGATTACATCAAATAACAAACAAAAAACTAAAATCAGAAAACATTTCATATGTATGGAGTATGGAGTATGGAGCTAGCCAACGGTAAGCTAGCACTCACCAATCTGCCAGTTCCTTTCTTTGGCTTCATTGTAAAACTGATGCAGCACAAGGAAATCAATAACATCTGGCATATCATGGTACCTGTGAAACGGAAGTGGAATAGCTCTTCAGAAGGAGGTAGTACAACCACAGACATGGCTTGAAGGTAATTATGATATTGATTCATATGTGTATTAGAAACTTCGTATTAATGTAACATTTTTATATGAAACTGTATTTTTGCAGCATTTTGTTTGTTGCTGCTTCAGTTTTTTGTACATAGCTTAGAGATATTTTTAATATATTAAGCAGTACAGAAATTAAATAATCAATCAATCAAAAAAGCCAGGCTAAATATTGCAGGGTGGTGGTGCACATTTTCCACCTTTTTAATAACATTTAAATCATGTTCTGTGCTTCTTTGCCATGTGATCAAATACATTGTCCGCGTCTTGATGGCACAGGAAAATGCTCAAAGTGATGAGCATGCTTCTTTTCCTAAATATTATTAGGGAGACAAGTTTTTGAATTAGTTTGTGGGGGGGGGGGAGAGAGAATGTGAGTTGGTGATGGACAAGCGCCCATTTAGCCAGCCACTTACTTAATGGAAAATGATTCACCAGTCATTTTGCCTGAGGTTGGATAAAGAAAGGCAAGCTTCAAGCAGCAAAGCGTAGGTGGTCCAACTTCATACTTAATTCCCACAATCTTCACAAATTCTTGTTCCTGTTTGTCAAAACAGCACTGGAGGTCAAAGCTTAGTTGTGCATGTACATTTTATTTGAAGCACATACACAAAGGGGGTTGTTTTAAACAAGTGTGAATTCCCAACTTGACCATAAAAAACAAGCGTCTCCCCGCTGCCACTTTTCATTCTACATTGACCCATTTTTCATTCTGCATTAACTCATACATTCATGTCCACATTCTCACATGTATATTTATAACCTATCGCCTCCACACATCCATACTCCCTATTACTACTTTGCACTTGAGTTGGAGGGACGAGGGGAGAAGCTCAAGAATATGATGGCAGGGGAGAAATTCAAGTTCACAAAATGCAGATGTGCGGTTTTTGATAATGGCCTCTACACAATGTGAAGTTGAATGTGACCTTCAAGCCAAGTCCCACACTCCTGGATATCTGCTCTCTGCCTGTGACACAATGTAATCTGCACCAGGTGAGTTAATCAGACAGATGCTTCTGCACAGGATTATTTTGCCTCAAGTCTCCTTAAGTCTCTGTTGTGGGCAGGATGTGTGACTCAGACAGGCAGAGTACATGATTTGCACATGGGAGATCCCAGGTTCACTCTCTGGCATCTCCAGGTAAGGTTGGGAATGATTCCTGCCCCAAGCCTTGGAGAGCTACTGCTGATTTGTGTAAGGCAATAGATTAGTCAATGGTCTAACTTGGTATTCGGCAGGTTCACTGGGTTTATTCAACCCAGTGATAAAAAACAACAATATAACTCTGAAGCTCTCCTTACCCTGAGTTCCATTTTATTCCATGGTTGTTTCTGCATGTTTACACTGTAGATCTTTGCCTTTCGAACTGCACGCACATAAGCTTCATGCCCTTGCCTGAAATAGATTACCTGAAAGGAAGAAAATTAAATGACACTCTGATTCACAATACACCAAGCCTCAGCTTTCAAAACTTATCCTTAATTTGGAAATAAATATCCCAAAGTAAATAAATAATGATCCGCTTGCTAGTTCCTAAATATGCATCATTTGTGCATGCCAGGAGACACAATGGAACAGAAGAGCTCTCAAAGATGCAGAAAGATCAATGTATTAAGGTTCGATGTACATATTTCAAGAAACAGGACTTCTGATTCTTCAGGGATTGCTAAAACAATTTTCTGTGCTACGTGATAGAGCAGACTTTGACAACCTGATGTGGAATTTTCAGTAATTTTAAACTTGTTTTATGAAAAAAAAATGTGTATAAAACTGTATTAAAATCTACATAATGAATTTTAAAAGATTTTTAAAATAATTATTCCCAAGAGGCCTGAAGCATTTAATCTGGGGATTATAGGGGCAGAGGTTCCAAAGGAAATGGTTATGTTGTTTATGTTTATGTATGCTCCTACCACAGCCAGAATCTTGTATGTGCAGAAATGGAAAGAAAAAGTCGCAATGAAAGAAGAATGGATTTTAAAGTAATGGACTATGTAGAGATGGCGAAGTTGACAGCAAATACAAGAGATCAAAAAGATGAGAATAAACTATAGCCAAATGAAATCACAAGCAGGATTTGAATAATAGGCAAGGGAAGGAGAATAAATAAACGACTGCAATATAAGTTATAATACAATAGAAAATAAATGCCAGCAGATAAAGGAATACAGCAGGTACAACTTGAAAGGACGGATGGGAAGTCAAAATGTAAGAAATTATTGTACTGAAAGTGAATTGAATGTCAAATTTTGTGGGGGGGGGACACTAATAAAATTATTTTACAAGATATATAATAAAATGAAATAAATTGCATAAAATGATTGCCAAGTACTTGCTGTTATCTTATATAGGCCTGAGCGTAACAGAAAAGTTAAAAAGCGAAGTGGCAAGGAGATGAGACAAAACAAGATGGCTGGCTGAATCTAAGCAGAGAAGTATGAGGAAGACACCTTCCATCAGCCCCAGTGCTTCGTCCTTGTTGGGAGCTGATCGATTGGTCTGACGAGGTTCATGAAGCTCTTTTGCACGTCAACTTACTACAGCTGAAATAAAGAAGTTCATTGCCGAACTCATTCAAGTTCCACTGCGGCCCTGTCATGCTCAGTCTATGGAGAGGTGTGTGCAACAAGTCACAGAGGCAGCAGGGCTACATCAGAGGCCAAGAAGCAAGTTGGCAGTTGATGTCCAAGAACGAAGCAAAGCAAGACCTGATGAAACTTGTTTAAGTTTCTTATAAACTGATGTCATTCTTTTCTAATGTTGCTTTATGTTGTACGCTTAGTAGGATATGCTTTATGCAGAGAATCTAAAGTTTTTATATTATTACCTGACATTTTCGGAAGGCAAAATTAAAATTAAGTTTGTTTTTCTAAAAGCAGTTTGTGCTACTTAATCAAATGTAGATTCACCCAGCTAAATGTTGTCCAATCACAAAAAAAATATTAGCAGATTTTAATTCCTCACACCCCAAATTATATACAGTGGTACCTCAGTTTTCAAACATACCGTATTTTTCGCTCCATTGGACGCACCGGACCATAGGACGCACCGGACCATAGGAGGGGGAGAACAGGAAAAAAAAATTTTTCTTGTTCTCCCCCTCTAAAACAAGGTGCGTTCAAGGTACATTCACCAGAGCTTGTGGGGCTGGCGATGGGGGGAAGCGCTGCTTTCCCCCACCGCCAGCCTCAAAGATCCCTGAAGCCTTTGGAGCGCAGCGCCCCGCTGTCCTGCAGAGGTTTGCGCGCAGCTGTCCCCAAGCTAGAGCAGCAAGATGGAGCCCTCCGTCTCGCTGTTCTGGCTTGAGAACAGCCTTGCTAGCTTCTGCAGGACAGCGGGGTGAAGGCACCCCGCTGCCCTGCAGAGGTTTGCGCGCAGCCGTCCCCAAGCTAGAGCAGCGAGACAGAGCCCTCCGTCTCGCTGTTCTGGCTTCGGAACAGCCTTGCTAGCTTCTGCAGGGCAGCGGGGTGAAGGCACGCCGCTGCCCTGCAGAGGTTTGCGCGCAGCCGTCCCCAAGCTAGAGCAGCGAGACGGAGCCCTCCGTCTCGCTGTTCTGGCTTCGGAACAGCCTTGCTAGCTTCTGCAGGACAGCGGGGTGAAGGCACCCCGCTGCCCTGCAGAGGTTTGCGCGCAGCCGTCCCCAAGCTAGAGCAGCAAGACGGAGCGCTCCGCAGCGCTCCGTCTTCCTGTTCTGGCTTTGGGCTTAGCGGCGCAGCCTGCATTCGCTCTATAGGATGCACACACATTTCCCCTTAATTTTTGGAGGGGAAAATGTGCGTCCTATAGAACGAAAAATACGGTAATCCATTCCGGAAGTCCATTCAAAAACCGAAAACTGAAAGCGGAAGCCTCAAACCCAGCTAGATGGGCAGGGTATAAATAATAATTTATCATCATCATCATCATCATCATCATCATCAAAGTGGAAGCCTCAATACAGAAAACTCAAAACAGAAACTGCGTTTCCTGTTCGACTTCCAAGGTGCGTTCAAAAACCGAGGCAGTTACTTCTGGTTTTTCAGCATTTGAGTTCCAAAACGTTTGACTACGGAGGCGTTCAAAAACTGAGGTACCACTGTATATAAGACCCCTCACTGCAGAAATTTGCAAAAATTAGGTTTCACCCCCTAAAATGACATGCCCTACTCCAGTTAAATAAACAAATAGCTACCTCATCTCCCATTTGTGGAACGAAGGGGGAACGCCGCGGTATGGTATCCAGTATCCAATGTGGAGCAAACCATTCTTCAGTGGGTTCACCATCCATCGAAAGCCGTCCACTAGGTTTCTTAAAACAAAAACATTACAGAGTTTAAACACAAGTACCGTATTTTTTCGCTCCATAAGACACACTTTTTTCCTCCTAAAAAGTAAGGGGAAACGTCTGTGCGTCTTATGGAGCAAATGTGTGGTTGATCGCTGGCTCCCTTTCCGCCCCCGCCCCCTTGCCCAGGCCTCCATTGTTGAATGTTCTGCAGATGGAGGCTGTTTGTTTCCCCAGCAACATGTGACTGGCTGATTAGATTATCTGTCTGGAAACTGTAGAAACGGCTCCCTTTCCTTTCCTTTTCTAAAGAAGCTGCAGAACTGTGAGCTGAACCCCATAAAAACAGGATTTTTCCCCTTTGCAAAGTAAACTCAACAACTTCGAGCTGATCCTCAAAAAAAGGGGCTTTTCCCCTTTGCAAAAGAAGCTGCACAACTTTGAGCCGTTCCCCCCTCCAAAAGGGGCTTTCCCCCCTTCCTCCTCTAAAAACTAGGTGTGTCCTATGGAGCGAAAAATACGCTAACTGGTTTACCTTTCCCAAAAGAGGAGGGGAGGGGTAAAGTTTTATTCAGAAAAGCCTATAGACCTTTTTCCTTGTCTGTTTGGGTTTTTTGCGTTTTTCTTCCTGTCCCTTCATATCTTTCATATTTTCATCTTCAGAACTGCTACACATTTTGCGAGTTGCCTGTCTTGTTTGTCTTTTCGGAGGTTGAAGGTTTATTCCGGCATCTGCAGTCCAGTCAGAATATTCACTGGATGAATCGCTGAAAGATTCACATAACAAAATTCTTAGAAAACCGATTTTGTTCCCAGTGGGACATATTTTCAGGGCCACAAAGGGAAGACCAGAGCTTGCTGCTTGAGGGCGGGGAGGGGGAATTACTGATTATACTGGATGAAAAGCAAAAGGAAATAAAAACCCAAAACAGCCAAGTTAGGGTTTAGAATATATATATAAACTAATACTATATTTCACAAATACCTTTCAAATTAATATATACCTATTTTTATAACTACCAAAATATAAAAGGAAGAAATTGATGTGGCTCTAGAGTATATGAAATCATTTGTAAATGGTGAACTCCATACGAAAGCAAACATAAAATCCTTCATTCATGACTAATATCAAAAGTGGTTTTATCAGGAACTCGGTATCATGAATACATTTACACATCTCTAAATGGCAGATCTATTCAATTTCTCAATAAGAGAAAAAGTAGTGTTTAATGAGTGCTGGTGCTCTTCCTTCTCCCAAACCATGGAAGACCCTCAACTCTGTCTGTGCCATGTAGCACTGAGAAGAGAAATGGGGAGGACAGCAAATCCACCTCTACCTAGCAGCGCTACTGCCCATGAGGCCTTTGAGCTTCATCAAGATAGTAAGAGGAGATAAACACCATCTGTTGGTTATTGCCACCTCCTTTTTGTTTTTTGCTCTGTTGCTATGGTGGCCAAGGACATAGGTTTTTTGCTGTAGGTGCTTGTGGGCAACAATTTATATCAGTCAAGGCGAGAGCCTGCATAGTATGGAGAGTGGGGGTCAAGCTATTCAAAAGCCACAGAGTGAGTGTCAGTTGGCACATAGTAGGGTCCTCTTTGTGTTAGAGGCAGAGAAGAAGTGAATGGGCTGCCATAAATGAAAACTGTAGATTTAAAGACCTAAGGGAAAACAAAGTTAAATAGATTCCCCTTCTTTAAGCTATTTTAAAAGTAGTTGTTGTTCTTCAGATCAAAAAGGTAGACAAACCAGAGCAGAGAGAAGTTAGGGAAACCACTTTGTGGAGTGAACAAAAGGTAATATAGTTCTGTCTAGAACAGAGGACTCAGCCGACCCAAACTGGGAAGATCTGGGGAGCAGGATGGCTCCTCCCCCCAGGAAGAGGAAGCAGAAGACTTGAAGGTCCCTGCCTACCCAGGTGAGTGGGAGGAACCATCTTATTAACTGAATGTTAATTCCAGTCCACTCTGGAAAACAACAGTATCAAATGCTGCTGAGAGTGCAAAGAAAAGAAGCAGGATTGCACTCCCCACATCTCTCTCCGATAAATGTTATCAAGAAGGATGACAGAGTCCATACCATGACCATGTCTGAATGCATCCAAGTAATCAGCTTTCTTCAAGCATGCCTAAAGCTGGACTGCAACCACCTTCTGAAGCACCTTGCCAAGTAAGGGGATATTTGGGTGATAACTGGGTGGTAACTGTTTAACACTTCTAGGTCCTGTGAGGTCTACCCCCCCCCATTTACTTTTTACTGTATTTTCATACTACAACCAAAACAACAACAATATTGACAAGGCACAATATAGATAATGTTTACAGCTATGTTGAGTATATGATGGAGAAGTTGTCAGTTTGGAAATTAAGATAAGATTTACCATTACAGCATAAAAGGAAGGAGATTACAACAGTGCCGTTGATTAATAGTAAGTACATTTATTCTGAGACAGTGTGGTGAATGTTATTTAGTTGTTTTATTTATTTGTTAAATTATGTTATTTATAGTATAGAATGTTATACATATTTATAGTATAGTTTTCAATAGTTATTTATAGTATAGAGTGTTACTTATTTCTTAAATTTATTAAATGTAAGTATTCCATAATGTTACCTGACCAGATGGGGGTTATAACAAGTGTTCATTGGTGTGAATATATGCTATAAATGGCCACCAAACTATTTCAAATCCCCTCTCCCTTTGAAAGGACCCTAATCACCCAGCTGTGGTATGCTAGATGTTCTGAAAGTGCTACATCCCATATTCTATCGAGCCAACCCTTCATGGTGAATCCTCTTGATTTCCAGTGCCTCTCTATTTCTAAGTTGGCCACTGCCAGTAATAGAGCTACTAATTTTGGATGTAATAAATGAGGACCTTTTGAAAGTGGAATCATTAAAAAGGGCCAAAGCAGGGTCAGGCGTTTTCTGTTTCATAATATTCATAATAAATAGATATTTTATCGAATACAGTGATCCAAAAATCTTGCACAAAACAACACTCTCACCACAACCCATCCAACATTCTGGAGATTGATTCTATTCAATTTAACTGGGGTCCAATGCCATCTATGTATTGTTTTGAAGGTGGGTTCTTGAATTCTGCAGACATGGTTTTAAAAGATGATTTAACCCATTTAGCATTCTATACTTCATCCTGTAACTCCAGTCCCATGTCAGTCCCAGACACTCCTTTCAAACATAACATGTTACCAGTCCATTCCAAAAGAAGTGCCTTTTAAATACAAGATGTCACCACTTCTGAATTAGTGACCCTCTGTAAACCATGTTATTTTCAGACCATGTTAGTGAGTACCTAATTCAGACCTAAACTGCTGCTGAGCAAAAGCAAAGATATGGCCCTTCATCGTAAGATACCAAAGCCGTTTACAGAATAAAATATTTGAAACCTACTAAGACAGATATCATCCAAAAGTTGATACAGCTCCTCTTTTCTTAGTTCAGTGGTTTATTATTTTTATAGGTATTGCATATTCTATACTCCTGCTCCCCCTACTGGCAAATTGATGGTATTTTTCTACATCTTTTAAAGTTTTCATGCTCCAATATAGGTAGGTGTTAAAGGAAAACTATAAAATGGCAATGATTTTGTCCAGCTTTCCCTGGACCTGCACGGTTGGTTTAAGAAAGGCATTATTTAGACCTTTAATCGTCATCTTATTAAGGTTTTGAAAAGGTAGTACTCTTAATCCAGAAGGGTCTATGCAAAGTTCTGCATCAACCCATGGAATAAACCGATCTCTGACCTGGAAGATGTTTCCAAGACTACATTTATCTTGGATAAGTAGGAGCTTGCATAGGATAGCAGCAGGGAGGTTTTCCTAAGGAAGGGGTGAACCACTGCCTCCTTCAAGGCAGATGGCACCTCCCTACTCTCCAATGAAGCATTAATCACTACAGGGATCCTCCAATCTCCTATAGCTAGTTTTAAGAAGCCAATATGAGAAAGTGTCAAGGAGGCAAGTGGTTGGTGGCAGTTCTTTAAGCAGCTTGTCCATATCCCCAGGATGCAATAATCTAAACCAATCCAGTATAGATGGAACAGATGTTGCTCTATAAACTTCCATTGGACTTGGCATCCAAGTCTGTCTGAACCTGAACAATTTTGCCTCTGAAGTATCTTTGCAAAGTTGTTACAGAGCACCCATTATTGGCCAGATCATAAAATCCCATTCACTATTCTGAAAAGTTCTGCCAGACAGCTAATTGAGGGTACAATGGTGGCAAAGAAGTAGGCTTTGTTTGCTCCCACCACTACTACGTGAGAGGCATGATGGTGCTTCCTCACCCGTGTTTTGTCAGGTTTGCACCAAATCATACATCAACTGTACTGTAGCCTCTACCCCTCCTGTTTCATCCCACACAAATCATTGGAATACTGAGGCAATCTATGTGCTTGACAGCGAAGGCACTCAAGAGCAATTGTGCCAATTGTTCTATGCATCTTACCATTCCACAGTGAAACAAGAGCCTCAACAGGAGTGCCAGCCATATTTACCTAGCCAGGTAAGCTCATCTGGGGGGGGGGGAGTGGAAATTTTTGGGATTCTGCAAGGGGTTTTGGGATTTGTTTATGTGAGTCTGCCCTGTGCCTTTGTCTCTGCTTTGCATAGGGCTAGGAGATATATTGAGAATATTGCCCAATACCGGTTTCTAGACCACAATGCAATGACCATTTAAAAATAATTGACGTGGCAATACATGGCAAATCACTGTGTGTGCACGCACGCGTATGCACAGACATAACATGTGTTTGCCTGGTAGCAGTTGGCAGAAAGCTCGGTTTCATGAAGCCACTGCCGATGCTGAGTCAATGACTTCCCTCCCAGATGCCGCAAAAGAAAAAAACCAAACATATTGCCCTGTGTCGTTCACGCCTCTTTCCTCCCTTGCTCCCTTCTCTCACTCTCTCTGTGTGTGTGTGTGTGTGTGTGTGTGTGTGTGTGTGTCTGACTTACCACACGTCCAATCTTTACACTCCCAACCCACCCAATTTCCATGCTCTTTTGCCCAGCTGCATGCCCAATCTTCACCCCCCCACCTGCAACTATCTCCAGTGACTGAGCCTTCACCCACCCTGCATAGTTCCATGTTTCAGACACTGTGATATATCACTAAATCACAATGTTTAGCTTGTGATATATCATGATGTTGAAAACCGGATATCACCCGGCCCTACATAAGTACCTGAGTAACTTCTCCCCCTTGGTTCAAGCAAGCATACTGTGTCATGTCCTATTTGAACCTGGGCTATGCTTTACAAGTTGTAAGCCAGAAATAAGCCAAGGTTTATTATTGGTTTATTTCTGGCTTACTGCTTAGTTTGCATGAAACACACAAACCACACTTTACATTCATACAATATGACAAAGCATACTTGACTCATTTGAGCCAAGGTGGGGGGTGGGGAGAATTGGGAGAAACTATTGTAATTAAAAACATGGTTTAAAATGTGCAATTGAGGCTTTACTCTAGAGACATGTTACTCTAGACACACATGTGTTTAATTTTGGGGGCCATCAAATATGTTATATGAATTTATAAGTTATTTACTTTTTTCCTTTACATTTTTTACAGCTTGGCTGTTGATCTGCTGTGATTATCTTGTTCAGACTCTGCAGAGGATGAGACTAACAACAAGGGGAAGCAGGTAAACTGAAAGGAAGAAGTTAGCACTCACAAATTTATTTGCTATCAGTTTAGCAGATAAAAATCTGCACTAATTTCTGTTACTTGTACAAAATTCTTGTTGTTGAGCAGCAAAATGTTCCTATGTAGTGCTGTGCACATCGTGCCCTCCCCACATTAGGTGGCCTTGTATCAAGCAGCACATTCATTGTGAAATATTCCCCTTTAAAACTGAGTAAGAGAAATTACCTAGAGCTGCTTTCACTTTGCCATGCAGTGACATTGTCGTCCACAGACGCATCACTTGTGCCACCTGTGTCATCTTCCTGAGAGGGGAAGAAAAGAGAAAGCTTTGTCCATTTGCTCTATCACTTTGCTACAGTCACAAATTTGCTAGCAGAAAGATGAGTTCCCTCTCATATTGCACACCTCTTGTTACGTGTAGGTCTAAAAGACACTGTCAATAACTAAACGGGGAAGGGCTGCAGCTCAGTGGTAAAGCATCAGTTTTGCATGCAGAAAGTCCCAACATCTTCAGGTAGGGCTGAAAGAGACTCCTGCCTGAAATCCTGGAGAGCTGCTGTTGCCAGTCAGTGTAGGCAACACTGAGCTATATGGACCAATGGTCTCACTTAGTATACAGCAGCTTTTTATCTTCTCAAACTGACTGAAAGGAGTGCAAAGAAAACACCTGTGTCCGTCTTTTGTCACAAACTGTAAAATCCAAAGCTGAGCGTTAAGCAAAGCTTTAGTAACTGCTCTTGACATTAGATACAGCGGGTGAACAGAAAACTGCAAGGGAAAACATCTTCCTTGAACATCAAAGCTGCCATTACAGCACTCCAGAACTAGCAGAGTGCCAGACTCATAACAGCAGTCCTGTTAAGGGCAAACAGCCAGCATTTCTCCCTCCAGAATGTTTGCAGACCTGCAGATTGGACTCAAATAGCAATAAGGGGAGATAGCTGAATAAATAATTATACTTAGCATCTGTAAGCATCTTATAGATGTGTTATAAGGATTACAATTAGATAATGCAAGAGAAGAGCTGTAATTCTTACAGCAACCCCATGAGGTCATACTATCACCCATATTCTCAGACAAGCATGCTTTGCATAAAGCCACCCAGTAAGTTCATGATAAAGGCAAGATTTGAATTGGGCGTTCCTGTTTCATAGCATCTTAGCCACTATGCTACACAAACTCCCAACCATAACAATTTGAGGGTGATCTAAATAGCTGGTAGGGGTTTTCGTACTGGCAAAACCAACCTGTTCACAGATCACTGCCAGCTCCTAATTGTCCAACTGAATTTGTCTTGAACTCATTTCCAGTCTTACTTCTGCTAATTGTGACAAAACTCTAACTCCAACATTTTGATCATATTTGGTAATGGTTTAAAGTCCACTTTTTATTTTAATGCTTTCCCCCACTAACACGATTTAATATAATAACCAGACACCTGACCTCAGAAGAGCTTTCAGAGTCTTCCTGAGTATGTGAGCTTCTTCGTACACCTTGTGAATGATGATCAAAGGTGGAGCGTGTTTGGTAAGCATGCTGACGCTTGCGTTGGTTTCTTCGCAAAGATCGCCCACTGCCGGGTTGATAATCACACTTTCACAGTACCAGGGAAGAACAGAACACAGAATTTGAGATTACAGAGGAAAGTTTGCAGCATCGAACATCAAGATCGACCAAATCTATGCAATAATGTAGGGCTGGATCATGCCTGTAATGCTGAACTATGGCTCTCTAACAGGTGAGCATTTTTATTCAAAACCTTGGTTGAAGTATTTGAAACATCCATTTTAGCCAGTAAAAGGGTCTGTTTCATTATTCCAGCCTTAAATGTTCATTGTGTAGATAAAGTTCTTTTCCTCACTGTACCCAAACCCCTAAGTGTTACAGGTGCATACTGCAGTATAAGCTATAATAAACCCACAACCAATGCAAATTAAACAACTGAGCTAAAAGCAGAACTAGGGAACCTGTGGCCCTCCAAATGTCAGACTCCAACTCCCATCAGAGGCCAGAGGTGATGGGATATTTATTGGCAGGGAGGCCATGAGTAGCACAGTGAACAGGGCACCATCAGAATCCTTAACCTGCCTCATGTGTTCAACACAAGTTACAAACACTTTAGATCTGTACTCAGGCGGGGGTGGGGTGGGAAACAAGAAACTTGGGGGAGAGAGACTGAATTCTTATAAACTATGCAGTGGCACCTTGGTAGTCGAACAGCTTGGGTCCCGAACAAATCGGGTCCTGAACGCCGCAAACCCGGAAGCAAGTGTTCTGGTTTGCGAAGATTTTTCGGAAAATGAAGATCCGAAGCAGCTTCCGATTGAGTGCAGGAAACTCGCCTTAGTTTTTGAACCAAGCAGAGCCTTGGTTTTCAAACCATTTCGGGAGTCAAATGGACTCCTGGAACAGATTAAATTCGAGAACCAAGATACCACTGTACATGGGGGGGAAATCTGTTCTGATGCTGCCCTGAACACTTAGACAGGCAAAGATTGGGGGGGGGAGCACAACTCTGCCCCTGCTGGCCCAAACTGTGGGTGAATGAGATTATATTTAAAACTGGTCTGATGTTTAACAGCAGTATCTTCAGGCTTGAGGGCTGGCTGACAGGACACTGGTTCCCCAGTTGGAGGAGGAAGAGCCAGCATGCAGCAATCAACAATTAAGCATTCAACACCCTCTGTATCTGCCCTGTCTCATGCCCTACACCATACATCCCACTACCTGCAACCACTATAATTGGAGCCTCCTTGCTCTCCCTACCTAATCCCTTACTCTTAAAAAGGTGAAGGACCCCTGACAGTTAAGTCCAACTGTGAACAACTCTGGGGTTGCGGTGCTCATCTCGCTTTTCTGGCCAAGGGAGCAGACATTTGTCTGCAGATCATGTGGCCAGCATGACTAAGCCACTTCTGGCAAAACCAGAGCAGCAGACGGAAACGACGTTTACCTTCCTGCCGGAGCGGTACCTATTTATCCACTTGCACTCTGAAGTGCTTTCGAACTGCTAGGTTGGCAGGAGCTGGGACTGAGCAACGGGACCTCACCCCGTCGCAGGGATTCAAACTGCCAAATTTCTGATCAGGAAGCCCTAGGCTCAGTGGTTTAGACCACAGCGCCACCCATGTCCCCAATCCCTTACTCTTACTCCCAATTTATTAATGTATATGAATATACATGGAGTTTATCCAGTTATCTGTGTAGTCTGAGGACATGAACCCACTTGCATCATTCTTCCTAAGATGAGGAGGCCCAAATGAGATACCCTCCAGTTCCCTGGCTCTCTACTCAGAAGTCAAGTTTAAAGCTACGCTAAGCTTATTCACCATATTATGCACCACCAGCCTCATTCCCCTGCAATTTATGTGGAACTTTGCTCTTTTGCACAAGCTTGGATACTCCCTAAAAAATCCTGGATGCCTGTGGTATTTCAGCCCTTCCTCCCAATAGCACTGCCCACCAAAGCATTAAGATCCTATACCTGTGCTTGGCTAGCTAGCTCTTAGCATGGAATACACAGGATTTCTGAAAACAAGCAAAATTTCTCACCCTTTGTAAAGTATGGGAAGGCTTTCTCTTCTTTTCAAGAGTATACAGATGAATTTCTAATTCGCCTTTTGCAGCTCGGCATTCCTCTTGAACTCTTAAGAAGATGGTAAGTTTGGGTTAATCTTTGAACCTTTAAACATGTTCTTAGATTTTCATCACCCTGGCTTCCAAGCTTTTTTTTTTTTTTTTTTTTTGCTGGGGGGGGGATTCAGAATTTTCCCCATCTATTGAAGCTAGTGTACTTATCTAGAATTCTATATGCACTCCTGCTATGTGTTCATTTCAACAGAGAGATTAGATCTGCATGCACAAAAGGAAGACGCAACAGCCACCACTGAATTGAATGGGGAAACTGTTCTGGATGAGAAAATTTGATGCGCAAACTGGAGCTTGCTCAGCCAGGATAGTTAGTGGATAAGTGCGGTCTTTATTTTGCACTTAAAGAACAGACGTCAGTGCAGGGTGGCTAAAAAGGTAATCCTCTGCAATTTCCTGTGGCAGGCCACAGTGAGCACAGCAGAGTTTATTCCTGAGTTCACATGTATAAGATTTCATGCGCAAAGCTACCATTTCTCAAAACTGCAAATTTAATGGGATAAGAGAAAAATATTATGCTTTTAGGACTTTTTGAGCAAATCAAATGGTCTTTGATTAGAGCAGTGGTGGGAAACCTTTCCCAACTGGTGAGCTGGATCCCGAGCTCCCCCACCCAGGGAAGGCCACTTTGACAGGTGAGGAGGACTGCCCATCTATCAATCACCTGCCATCAGCATGACACCAAGCAGTCAATTTTTTCCTTTGTAGCACAAACTGAGCTCAAGCTGTGCTGCAAGGAAAAATCCAATCCAAAGTTACCACTGATAAGCTGATAAGGCAACTGTTCAAGCCTGGCTTTTGGCTGATTCCAACCAGTTTGCTGTTACTCTCAAACAGCTGATCTGCAGCGACAGCAAGTCTCCCTTGCGAAAGAATAAGCAGGAGTGCACTTTAAGGCTCCAAATTGTTCACTGGCAGCTACATCACAAATGACGTCAGGTGTGGGGCAAGTGGGTGTGGTCTTGGAAAATGGCTTTGTGGGCCAAACAGGGACTTGTACTAGGTCTAATCAGGCCTGTGGGCTAGAGGTTCTTCATCTCCAGATTAGAGGGATCCTTACAGCAGCATCTCTGGGAAGGGGTAATTTATCAAACAATGCCCCTTGCAATTCTACAAGGACAATGGAACAAAGGTGTATAGAGTGCTGTGTTTCTATGGTGCTGCAACTGGTGTATTCATGTTCCAAGTCCAGCAAAAGCAAGGGAACACTAGAGAAAAGCAACACAGCTATGTAAACACTATACTTGGGGCTACGTTGCTTAACCCACCAAACCACACCTCTCTGCTGCCTACGTCTGTCAATTTCAAGTATGAACTGGTGAAGAACCAGCCTTGACCTATGCATTTGTTACCTGGGCTGTTGTGACATACTCCCTCAGTGAAGATGGAATAATTAAAGCTCGGTCACTCCCTTTCTAAAACAACCAAGAATTCAGATATTCTCTGCATGTGGTAGTGTATAATATAAACCTGCAGCAAGGCCTCTTGATGCTGGGGAGTGCAGTGAAAACCTATTCCCCAAGCTACGCAGAAATCAAAGCTGAGGCACAATGGAGACAAAAACTGTTTCTATTAACACACATTCAAAAAGGATAACGCTTGAAGGTTTCACTATTAAAGGCACAGTATTTAATTTCTCTCTGAAATGCCGTTTTAGGTTTAAACTTCACTTATAATTCTCTACAACAGAACTGTTTCTATTAAAAGTATCTCCTCCTACAATTACTATTTGCTTTCCCTCTTCCTAAAGTATCTCTATCCTCTTTCTCAGTCTATTTCCTCCACCTGAGGAAATTAAACAGGCTTATCCTGCCAGACAGACCCCTAAGCACACCTAGCTACTTTTGTAGCCAGGCTCTATCTGCCATGTAAACTTTCAAATTTCTTTACCAGCCCCATACACTCCTGATTGGCTGTTTCTCTCCCCTGCCATGACTGGCTAAGGGTTTCCAAGATGATGACCTACGGGTATGTCCGTCAGTTAAACCTCCTACTTTGGCTTAGGTTTAGAAAAGCTAAAGAAGGGAGTTGGATGTGACAGCAAACAAACAAACAAACAAACAAACAAACATACTCTGCTGATCTGTAACATGGGTGAGTTCCTTAAAACGATTCCAGGAAGATCATGGCACACACATGCATAAAGACAAAACCTGAAATAATTCTAAACATTGTTTTTACCTGCTAACCCCAGGATGCAGCTCGTTCACCACCACTCTCCTACTCCATGCCATGAGATCCCTCTCCGTGGCCATCTGACTTCTAGGAGCGTTGTGGTGCATCTGCCGGACACCTTCAATCTGACCACTCCGTCTGAGCCCAACATTTGGGGGGGAAGCTATATCCAAACTTGGACTTCTCAAAGCTACCAAAACAAACCAGAAGACTAATCAACTTCCCCCACCGTGTTTGTTGTATCAAAAGAAGACCAACGAACACTGAATCCTTCTACACTTGTCTAGAAGAATAACAGGAGATGACTCTTACTATTAGCAGGCTGAAATCTGATTTGCAGAAGATTTGGAGTAGCTTCACTTCCATTAAGTCTTCTCTGATCTTGCTCTCGTTGTAGCTCCCTGATCATTCCATCAAGGATGCTCTCTTCTTGGTCATTAGTTTGCTGCCCAATCACCTGCTCCACAACTTCACCATCACCTTTGCAAGAAAAAGAGCATCAAGTGAGCATTCCGAGATGTACAACAATACTTTATTAGAGTGAATGCCAAAGGTGTGCCATGGGAGACCCCGAAGCAGGTTACCATGTGCCCATCAAGAACTTTGTGCTAGCCAGTGAGCCCGCATGCTAGTACTGAACTGAACTATTTTTCCTTGACACACAGGTGAAAGAAGAGCCCCGTGCAACTCAGAAGACTGCATTCTCCGTTTAAAGTAAGAATTAAACGTAGGAACAGCTTGCTCATTTAAAAAAGTAACTGTCGTCTGGCTAGGTGTTTATGTATGCACAATATTCATCTTGCCTGCAGGTTTAGGATCCTATCCAACGCAGAGCCTGGAGGTCTCTTTGGAGGTCAAGGCTTGTGATCCTGCAGATAAACCTTACTCCATCTGGACTGGAAGAATCTCACAGTAGTTTGAAAACAACCTGAAGAACCCCATCTCAGGGACAACTCACTCGTCCCCCCATAATCCATCAAACCCATCTTTCAGTTCCTGATTCCCACCCACCACCAGGTCTCAAGAGCAAATGCAGCAACAGACCTGACAGGAAGTCCAAGGGGCCAGAGGAGCACCTACTTGGCTCACAGACAGTTCTATTGCTGCAAGTCTACGTGGAAGGGACTACTTGGGAGGAGGAAGGTGATCCTGCTGCAAACAATGACCTAGCAGAGCAACAGAGTGATTATAAGTCTTCTCTGAACCTGTACTTGGTTAAAATATCATCACTGTCATCATCTTATTTGTATGCCACCATTTCATTCCATAGTTAGAAACCATGACTCCAGCTCCAGCCTGGATCAGCACCAACTGGAAGCAGATCACACCTATGGATTCAATCTTTCACACCTTTGACCAGATCTCATTTGTGTTGTGTATTTGTTGATTTTTCCAAGTCTCCCTTGTATTGTGTAATTTTCTGGCCTCACTCTGCTAAAACGTTTTTGCAGGTGATTAAACCTATCTATAAAGGTTAAAACGTAATGCACCTGATGAAATGGTATCTGACCCACAAATATGATACAATAAGTCTGTAGGTCTTTAAGGTGCCACTAGACACTGTTTTTCATTTTTCTTTATTTTATTCTGAAACAGACTAACACAGCTCCCACTCTGGAATTTGTTCCTAAAGGTATTATTGTCACACTTGTCCTAGGACAGTGCTACTCAAAGTGGTAGTCCCTGGACTACTGCCAGTCCATGGGCCATCAGCTGCTAGTCCATGATGAGTTTCCTGCCCTCTTTACTGAATGTGTGGGTCTCTTGCACCAAGCAGCAGATCCTGCCGCCACTGCCACCTCTCTTTCTCCTTTTCACTGCTTCCCACCAGCTTGAGCAGAGGTGAGTCTTTCATGGAGCACTAGGCCTTGCAGTCTTCCAGGCCTGACTGCCTGACTGGGCAGGTATGATGACAGTGACAGCTATTCTCTGACCAGTCAAGAGAGGGGTGAACGAGAAAGGGGAAAAGACCTTCATCAGTTCACCCAATAAGAGTTGTGGGGAGAGGAAAATATTATTTTGACTTCTTGGGGGGAGGGATTGGACTGCAGTCCCGTGTGAGTTCACTTGAGCCCTGTATAAGGAAGCACCTACAGGCTGTTCTAATATGAATCACAGGAACAGGCGTGTAGCCAGTGGTGGAGCTACATTTTTGGGGCCCTGAGGCTTGAAATGTTGTGGGGGCCCTTCGCAACCAGCAACAAACCACTTCCTCAATAGGGTTTTTCCACAACTGATCAATTAAAAAAAAAATAACTACTACATCTCAGATTTTGATTTAAATTGCTGTACTGAATTATCTCACATGTACAAGTCACTGGTGTGAATAAAAATTTCCTTTGCCTTTTAGTTTCCAAGCTACTTTAACACTCCACCTTTATAACATCTGAACTACTGACTCTCAAACTTCAGGATTGTTGAAATATATATAACAAAAAATTAATCAATTTGAGTTGTGTGACTCAAATTGGTCTATTTTAAGCAATATGGGCTAAAGTCAGTATTAGGGCCCCTCTAAGATGAGGGGCCCTGAAGCTTAAGCTTCATTAGTTTCATAGTAGAGGATGCCCCCGAGTGTAGATGCATGTAAATGGAACAGGATCCTGTCTCATGAGAGCCTTTTCTTTGGGAAACACTCAGCTGAATCCTGAACATCTCTGCACATTCATTCACAGAAGCTCCATTGCATTGGCTTACTCCCAAATACAAGGAGTGTGCATGACACCTTTCTTCCCCACTGCTAATCTTTGCAAGCATATCTATCAGATAAACAAGACCAGAATATTTTTCAAAATTACTTTTTTAAAACACATCTACACACACTTTCCCAGATTTATTTATTTTTTATTCCTTTTCAATAGCTGGTAGTTAGATGTTGTGGTTCACCATGGATGGGGTAATGCAATACAGATTTATCACAAATAATTCTAATTGTATCTGTATTGGATCAGTTCTCTAAATCTACACTCTGGTGTTCAACTTCATTTCTATTGGAGTCCGTATGGAAAGTGACCACACCCCCTTACTTCTGTCTACATGCGACCCAGTAAATAAGATCTTGAAGCCTGGTAACTCTGATCAGACCTCTGATAGTATTTTGAAAAGGATTAGATAGTCCCCACAATTCAAAGGGACCAAATTCCTGGACTCAAGACAAAATGTTACACTTGAGAACAACTCTTAGTAACTCACATTCTATTAAGGTAGTAATAACAGCTTATTCCCAAGTAATGGACAAATGTGGTACAATAGCTAAGCCTGCATCTGTTACCCTCTCTAATCCCTCCCCTTGGTTTGACCAGGAATGCTATACAGAGAAAAGATTGCTCAGAATATCGTTCAGAGACCTTTGCAAAAAGGGTGACGATAAAACAAAAAAAACCTATTTTACTCGTAGGAAGTTATATAATGAACTTATTGCTAAGAAGAAGAAAATATACCATCAGAATAAATGGACACACTTAATAAATGCAGTAAAAGTGAATGATCATAAAACCTTCTGGCAAATAACTTCTGGCTACCAGAATACTATTTTTTAATTGTACCTACCATTCCCTCCCAAACCTGGGTGGACTACTATTTTAAAATACTCAAAATCTCACCCTGCTTTCTTCCAAATGCTGATGAGCCTGTCCTCTTTACTATACCAAACTTGCCCCCAGTAAGCTCAGACAAAATTATGGAACTTACTGCAGAGCTAAAACCCCATAAGGCCCCTGGCTCTGATGGGATTTCTGCTGAGGTTTTGAAAAAAGTATGCACATCGGTGGACATCACCACTTGCTAACCTGGAATTATACCATAATCGTGGTTAACTTCTGTAATCATCCCAATTTATAAAAAAGGTGATCCTGAGCAGCCGTGTAATTATCACCCTATTGGTCTCCTGTCCACTATAAGTAAACTCTAAACATTTAGAGCACTATCTGTTGGATTGGATTAAACGGAACAGAATTATTGGTCCTTAACATTTGTAAATCAGATTTACAAAATAGAAATCAACTATTGATCACTGTCTCTCACTTGCCTTTCTAGCGGATAAGTATATGAAATCCGAAAGGGGAAATTTATATGTATTCTTGCCCCACATTTATTTAATCTATTTTTGAATGATATGAAACAACATCTACTCGTTGTGAATGGCAACCCTCCTCGGTTAGGATCTAAGGCAGACGCCTTTGACTGGACTTAACCATCCAGGGGTCCTTTACTCCCTCTCTTTTTTTTTAACCTCTCCTGCACCAGAGTTCTAAAAGTGTACTTTCATTACTGTCAAGGAAATCACCTATCGATTGATTATTTTCAAAGAGTTGGCATCCATCTAAATTGTGTATTGGTAATCAAGAAATTGAACAAGTTAAAAGCTTTAAATACTTAGGGATCACCTTTTACAATCTAAAATGGGTGACCATTTGTGCTCTGCAGCACAAACTAAACAATTCTATTTTCTTGATGGTAAACAGAATGTGCCTGCAGTGGTTAGGCATATAGAGCAAAAACTGTTTTGCAACTCCTTTATGGGATTTCCTTATGGATAACTGACTTTAACAGCCAAGTCGAGGGTACAGAGGCATTCTTCTTCCGACAAATTCTAGGGGCTCCAAAATGTGTCTCCTATCTGGCTATATGTTCAAAGTTAAGCCAGCATCTCCTAGAATCCAGGGGCTGAATTATGACTTTCAAATACTGGCTAAAAATTCATTTCAATACAGACCCGGAATGCTTACTAACTTCTTTATTGAGAGAAACACATAATTCTACATCATTTTCTGATATTACCCTCAAACACAGGCAAATAGGGATTGCAATAGATTCCCTTCTTCTATTGGATGGCTTACAAATCTTCTCTCTCATCAAGCAGAGGCTGCTAGATCATGAAATACAAATGTATGGTTTTCACCCATGCAAGACAGAGAGGGACCCTTCTTTCTTGAGTTAACTCATGTCCCAGCCTTACCCCAACCTGATGCTATCAAGATGTTTTGGATTGCAATTCCCATGTTCCAACCAGCATATATTGATAATCCAAACCATCTGAAGGCCAGCAGGATGAAGACTGCCATAGCCAAAAAGAGAAACTTCATAATAGGCATACTACATTCTAAGAAACTTCATAATAGGCAAGAAACACCTCTTCATTTCAGATTCTGTGATTTAAATATGGTGTACCGTTTGCCACATATCCCAGCTGAGGAATGAGTTGCTCATCGTTACAATTTTCCCGCCCTGGCACCAGTCGCTGGTATTTTGTGGGGTGAGGATTTCCATCCACATCAACTAAGAACGGGGGAGGCATGAGATGCGGCGCCTGTTGAGTTTGTTCATCTAGGACATAGTTATTCGCATCACGGATCAGAGGGCGGTAATCTGTGTGGAAGAACATCTGGTCCGGGATCTACATCGGACACAAACTTAGAAATCAGTACAAATACACATACATTTCTTAATTCTTCTCATACAACGCATACTCTGTTAACTGTCTTTCTGGCTAGAAATCATCTGTCAAATGCTAATTCTCACCTTGGTCCCATCAGACTATTCAGACTACTTTAGAGGAGCAAACCTGCATGTGAACTACTTCTATGCACCACGAAAGCTTAGAATTAAGTGTATTTTCTATGTGGTTTTCATTTTAAAAAAAAAGCAAGCACAGTTCTCACCCTTAGGACTACAAAGAAAAGCTTTAATGAAACATGAAACCACAGATACGAGGTCCTAAGTGGTCAACTTCAGGAGAAGGAGTTTAACAAACTTCTTTTTATAACCAATTCACTGCAAACTGTCATTTTCCAGTTTTCTTCCAAATTCAACTCAAGGTTCTGGTTTTGACTCTGAACCTTTATGGAGTGCACATATCCCTAACACACTTTCACATCCTTAAATATTTTTAGGGCAGTCCTGCTCAAAATTTCTGCCATAAATGGGTAGGTTAAACTTCCTAGTGGGCAGAGCAGTTTTTTAAAATAGTGCCCCTAACCTGTGAAATACACTGCCCAGGAGGAACACCCTTGGCCAAAACTTTCTCAATCATTTTAAGTAATATTATTAATAATAATCTTATTATTTATACCCCACCCATCTATCTGGGTTTCCTCAGCCACTCTGGGCGACTTCCAGCAAAATTTAAGAACATAATAAAATGTCACACATTAAAAACTTCCTGATACAGGGTTGCTTTTAGATGTCTTCTAAACGTTGTGTAGTTCTTTATCTCCATGACCTCTAATGGGAGGGTGTTCCACAAGGTGGGTGCCACTGCTGAGATGGCCCTCTACCTGGTACTTCACTTCTCGCTGTGAGGGAACCACCAGAAGACCATTGGCGATGGAACCTCAGTGAACGATGGGGGTGGAGACGCTCCTTCTGGTATACTTGGCCAAAGCCGTTTGGGGCTTCAAAGGTCAGTACCAACACTCTGAACTGTGCTTGTAAACATACTAGGAGTCACTAGCTGGTTTTCTTATTATATTTTTTTCTCTAGAAATTCTTCTTTATTGTGAGTGCAAAGAAGCTGCTGCTTAAGACAAAGCATGAGCATGTGCACACACACTTCTCACATTTTCTTAGCCTTTAAAAAAATCTGTATCCTTCTCACACCATTATTAGCAGTTTATAAATCAAGGACTCAGTTCCTCCAGACATTATCAGTTAATCAGTCCTCAAACCAGCAGCTATACAATAAACCCCAGAGAGTAGGATTACTCTAGAGTAATTAGTTCCAGTCTGAATGTCTCCCACAGAAGAACAGGACACACAATCCATTTGCAAAGCTAGGCACTTTTAACATCCCATTAACTTTAAGAGAGATTTAAGCAAATTCTTACATTTTCCTTGCAATTCACAGGACTTTAAAAGTGATTCATTCTGGTTGGATGATGTCAAATACTGCTAAACACAGAAGGACATTAAGAGTCCACCAACTCACCTTTTCATAACTCTTATTGCATCCGAATCCAAACAATAGTAGGTGCCCATGGGAATCTGTACAGGCAAAGTGCTGACCATCAGGGGAAAATTTACAGTCAAACACTGCACCATGGCCTTGGCCCTCAATCTGTAAAACACACACAACACCCATTTGGATCTGCTTAACTTTTCTGGACAAATTTATAAGCTGAATTTTCCTTTCTTTTAGGGGTGTGTACCGACAACAAGATTTGGTTCTGACCCTGATTCAGCACTTAAAAAAAACAACCATTCTCAGCTCAAAGCATTCAAGACACTGCCCAGTTCAGCCCAGGTTCAAGTTCACTTTGGGGTAAAAAAAGGGCTTTGTCATCTTCCATTCAATTACATTGCCTGCAGATTTCATTCACATTTTTGGGCAGAAAATTGATGAAATTTGTAAGCAGAGCACCTCTTGCCAAATCTCAAGAGGTTAGCTGCAAGAGTTCCTACAAGAATAGCATTCAAAGTTTGAGGGAGGGTAAAAAAGAAATAATGAAGATGATGCTAGCAATTACTATGACAACAACTAAAGGCATACTATGGCTTGGCTGGAAATAAATAAGAATCACTTGACACACAATAAGTAGATGCAAAAGCACACACAAAGGGACCCAAAGAATGTAAGACTGACAATGGATGAATAAAATCACTTGAGACAAACAGACCACTTAACGTAAAGAAACAGACCAGAACTGAGGGGGAGGGGAGGGTCCACTGACTAAAAGGAACAGGTGAGCAAGCACAGGAGTCAATGTAATCAGGAGCAAATTTATATCAACAGGAAAGAAAAAGAACTAGGATCTGAAAGTAAAGGGTGGGAAAAGGGAAAGACTAGGCTAAACTTAGGCTAAAAAACACCCCTTTGCTCTGAGTTTGCCACCAGAACTCTTTTAACAACATCCCTCTCACAAAGCACTTGGTTTTTGCCAGCACCTGGCAAAACATTTCCCACTGAATTAGACCTGTTAATCACAACAGAGATCTCCCCCACCCCCTTCCCACCCTGCGTGGTTTTGTTATATTGTAAGCTTAAGGGACGTGGGTGGCACTGTGGTATAAACCACTCAGCCTCTTGAGCTTGCCGATCAGAAGGTCAGCAGTTTGAATCCCCAAGACGGGGTGAGCTCCCATTGTTTAGTCCCAGCTCCTGCCAACCTAGCAGTTCGAAAGCACGCCAAAAAGTGCAAGTAGACAAATAGGTACCGCTCCGGCGGGAAGGTAAACAGTGTTTCTGTGCACTGCTCTGGTTTTGGTGTTCCGTTGCACCAGAAGCGACTTAGTCATGCTGGCCACATGACCTGGAAAAACAGGCTGTGGACAAACACTGGCTCCCATGGCCTGTAAAGTGAGATGAGAGCCGCAACCCCAGAGTCGTTTGCGACTGGACTTAACTGTCAGGGGTGCTTTACCTTTACCATTAAGCTTATAGAAACTTTACTTCTATTTTCAGCAAGATGTATTTTCACCAAGGACAGTGAAGGTGGGTTCTCTCTGCTTTGGTATGAGGTGCTTTATAAAGATCCTGCACCACCGCAGATAAACACACAGTAATTCTCAGATTTGTGACTCTTAATCATAGGGTCAGGAGCTCAAGCCTGTTAGGCAAAAGGTTTTCTGTACTGCAGGGGGTTGGACTAGATGACCCTAGGGTCCCTTCCAATTCTACAAGTCTATGATTCTAAGATCTGACCACTCATTCTGCCTGTCATACAGTACCATGTTAAAGTAATTGCGCATTTTTGCTCCTTTCTCAAGGTCCCAAATGAAAATATTCCCATCATGGCCTGCAGAAAGCATGATCCTTTGGTCAAATGGGTGAGCTTCCAATACAAACACTTCATCATCATGGCCCTGCAACAAATGCAAAGAAAGTAATATTTTAAGAAGTAGTTACTGTCCCATATAAGCTTCATGTTACATTCCCCCCTCCCCTGCTTGTCACATACACACAGGTGACCAGCGCCTCAATCTTATGAAGGTGGTCTGGATGTTTCTGTGGTCTACCACCTCAGACTGAAGGCTTCGATGACAGAACATTCTTTCATACCAAAAAGGTGTGTCACCCAGACCATCAGATCCTTGTGAAGTTTAAGGAATCCTACGTGTCCACCACTATGCTGTTGCTGAACTAATCCCTGGTTTGGGTTTTTTTAAAATAGTATTGATCTTTTATTAGTTGTTTGCAATTGTGTATTTTATATTGTGCTTTGTAAACCACTTTGCAATTTTTATGAAAACTGGTATATAAATGGAAAAATGAACACCCCTAATAGACACAAAACTAGCATGTCAGAAGGGTTTTAACACAGAAAACTACAATGTCAGGTAGAAGCCCATATTCAGGGACTTTTTAATATTTTGGAATTGAGAGAGAAAGGAGGCATATCCACACTGACCTCCTGTTTAAAGACAAGGCAATTGTTTTAAACAGTGGGTAGCTGCAAATGCAAGCAACTCTGCTCATATTAGAGCAGTTCCAATTTGAAGTGGGGACAGGCTCCACAGATATTTGCTGCTGCGGACTGAAGGGCACATCAGCCTCCTGAGTGCAAGTGATAGCTCTACACCAGGGATGTCCAACAGGTCGATCAGGATCCATTGATCAATCCCTGGAGCTTCAGGTCGATCACGGTCGATCATGGGCTCCTTTTCCTTTGCTTTTCCTAAGAGCACCTACCCCCTCACCCCATTCTCCATTTTCGCTGGAAAGGAAGACGGAGTTTTCACTGTGAGGCAGATTGTTTTCATAGCGATCTTTTGGTGAGCAACTAATCCCCTTTCCCCTTTACTTTTGCCAGAACCCCCCCCCCCCCAAAAAAGGGGTAGATCACTGCCACTTTTTTTCCTGTGAGTAGATTGCAGTCTCTTAGGAGTTGGACGTTCCTGCTCTACACAACCTAGAAGACAATTGTCCCACTTGCCTGCCCACTGCTCCCAGTTCACCCTACTCCCACAGGTCAGGATTTTGTTATTGGGAATAGTCACACAGGAACAAATGAGGCTGCTCTATTGTTCAGCTTAACAATGGAGAATCTTACTGAGAACACTTAACACAAGAGCAGCCTGCTTTTTTGGCCAAGCAAGAATTCACCTATCTCTGCTCTTTCTTCCTGGGATCAGACAGAGTAATATACCTGCCTATCACAGTATTTTCCAACCCTGTGGGAATTTTTTGGACACAACAGGTATCTGGGAGGATCTGATATTCTAATATATATGAAACTTTAATACTGGGGTGCGGGTTTTAGTTCCACTTATATTATGAAAATTCTAATTGTATTATGAAACACAAGTAACCCCCTCCTGAACAATAAGTGGTATCTTTTATTCATTCAATTGTAAACACGCTAACATTTTCTCAGAAGTGCCTCAGAAGGGTTCCTTCATTGAAGTTTTGGTAAAAACTATAAATATATTTATAATTTAATTAGTTAAATGATCAGTTAGAAGGCAGATGGATAGTAAACAACAGGAAAATCTTATTTGATTGATTAACCAACCAACCAGCCAACCATCAATTGGTTAGAATGCAGGAAAAATGATAACAGCTTTCTCCTCCCATTAGGAAAATGATACTAATTTGATCAATTATTTTGTTTTCTGTATATTTGTTTTGATGTGTTTCTGATAAAAGATCACCAGTCCTTGGTCCGTACCACTCCTGGACTCATCTGATGCTGTTTGCAAGTTTCTCAGCTGTTCTCCACAAGCATGATCAGAATCTTAATTCTTAAAGATGCCAAAGCTTAGTGCCAGACCCCAGTTCAGTGGCACACAACAGAGAGAGCACTAAATGCAGATCCTCTTAAAAAGCTAATCGACTGAAGGTCTAACTTACAGTTAGGTTGTGAAGAAGCTGCCCAGTAGTAGAGTTCCACACTTTCAAAAGGAAATTGTTGACTGCTGTAATAACAGTAGTATCATAACGATCCCAAGCTACCATAGTCACCTTCAACTTGGACACCTTGTCTTCCCCAGACACTTGGCTATTTCTGAGAAAATGTAGACGTTAAAGAAGAATCTAGTCAAATGAAACTTTTAAGTACCAACTTAGAGCCAAACTAAATGTGACACTGGGAAATCTTTGATCAGATTGTTTTTTGAAGATGTTAAAAGCAGCCATGGGATACATTTGGGCTGTGATCCTAGGAACTTACCCCTCCCCATCCACCTTTTGTGCAGCTGCCCCAGAGGAAGAAACTACAGGTTCCAAAAAGTTTACTAGTCCCGCCCACCTGTCGAAGTGGCCTGCCAGGTGGGAGTGAGGAGCTGAAGATTCGACCCACATGCTACATCCTGTTTCCCACCCCTTTCTTTAAACAAACAAACAAACAAACAAACAAACAAACAAACAATCATACTTGGCCTTAATTTCCAGATGTCGGAAACCGATTATCATCACTAAACCATTGTCAGTAAAAAGCTGGCCAGATCAAAACAATAGTCAAACCACGGCTCCCAAATGCCTCCATTTTGGAACGTTTTGGCTCCCGAAGGCCGAAAACCCAGAAGTAAATGCTTCGGTTTTCTAGTGTTTTTCAGAAGCCAAAAGTCCAACACGGCTTCTGCTTGAGTGCAGGAAGCTGTTGCAGCCAATCTAAAGCTGCGCCTCAGTTGTCAAACATTTCGGAAGCCAAATGGACTTCCGGAATGGATTACGTTCAATAACCGAGGTTTAACTGTACATGCAAACAGTAGTATAAAGGAATTTATTTATTTAAACCTAACATTTTTCAGCCGCCAGAGAATACATGTAGAAAATGCAAGTTCTGTGAGCATTACACATTCAAATTTTGCTGAATCTTTAGAGGAAACAAGAAATGTAGAATAAGTAGCTTATAAAATAACCAAATGCTCTCTGAAAAGATCTGCCTTTTATATTCCTGATAATTATCCTGTTTGGTTTAATGCTCAACACAGACTACAAGGTTCCTTTCTGTGGAAACTCTGTCAGATTCTAATGCAAAAAAGAGCTCCCTTCTAGTACAACTCACTGTGTCTCAACCAGGTACAGTTAGTTCAGAAAGTAGGCCAGTGCTCCCCTCTAGAGAAATGCATGTGCCCAGTAAGATGTACTGTAGCTTTACAAATTTTTAACAGCAAGCCCCATGCGCTACACGTAACATGATGATGGGAAGCAACCAGATGGGTGCAGCTTAACGCTACTATGAATACCATGACAAAACTTTCCATAGGTAACAAGATGGTTTGGTTTCCCCAGAAACCCTGAGTTACACAAAAGCCACAACAGGAAAATGGCTAGAAGGGAGAGATGCTGAAACAGGTGAAGAAAACGAACATTTCTGGATTTCAACCACAGAAATAAATATTACTGTGTTTTGAACATTTGAATTCCTTTGTCTATTGAGGTTAAATTATAAACATTTTTCTGCCTTTTACCCAGTCATCTTAGTCGCCATCTCCAACACTATACTCTTCCATTCTTGCTGCTGATATTGCCAGATTCTGGCTGTTCCATCTCTGCTTCCACTGACAAATCTTAGTCTGTATTTTCGAGTAAAAGGGAAAAGGAAAAAAGTTACATGTGTAGGGCTCTGAAGCCCCTCTGCTTTGCTCTCCAACCTGCTTTTCCCCTACCCAGTTCAGAATTTGGTCTACCGGCACCCTGAACTCCTGTATAATAATATTTCCATTTTATTTTTTTTAAGGGCCACTATCTTGTGATTGACCCTGCACTGGTACCCACAAACACACTTAACACAAAATGCAGCACAAGGGGGCAAGGTTTGCATGTGCCTTTGATTCAGGGTAGCTTCACATGCACGTTCTAAATGACAGCAACATCTAGAAACAGCTTTCATGGCTGAACAAGCCAACCCTAGAACTCTCCTAACTCTTCAAAATGCAATGCTTTATACCATGTGGTCAGTTCACAAGCTCACCAACCAGATATTAAACATTTAGTAAGCATCGGAATAAAACTCAACTGAACTGGCTACTAGTTGCTTATCAGATGTTTTTATATAGTGGCTAATTAACAGGTAATATTTTCATTAATTTCCTTTAATTAAAGTCACTTAGTGAATATAAGTGGGATATAAAGGTTTAAAAAAGTATAATACTGAACAGCTATCCACCACACTTCACAATGCAATTCAGAACACTTTGTCCCAGCTGAGATGTCTCAGCCTAACCACAGTTTGGCTACTCATGCCATTTTTCAGCTTTGCCTCTTCAACCCATTACATGCCCCAGTTAACTATTTCCTGGTTGCAGCAAACCATAGTACGCTGTTCAATCCAAGCCAAAATTGGAAGCGCAATTTAGACTGTCGTTTTCAGTTCTGCTTTGAATCAGAAGTCCAAACAGATAGAAAGTTGCCATTGATCAGTTTAAGATAAATCCCTCATTTTAATTTAGAAAATGTATATACTGCTTGACTGTAGTAAAGCAGTTTACAAGACGTTTGTAAATGACTGTTTATATTTCACAAGTAGCGTAAGAAATTAAAAAAATATTATGGAAAATCAAATACAGCAATAACATCATGGGAGAAGAACAAAAGAAATGCTTACCTGCCTCCACTGTTGCAGAACTGAACAGCAACTACTTTGTCCTTAAAAAAATAGAAAATAATTGTTTTCATCAATACTTTTCTCTACAGTCAGCTTATGTACAACCCTGCTCTCCTCCATCCACATGTTTCTAGAGTGTCCAGAACATCTTAGCAGCAAGTGTCAACAAAACATGCATCAGCCCTTTATCTGACTCACCTGTCTTTTGCCCCAGTGTATGGCCAGCAGCATGTACTGAATTCTATTGCTCCCTGAGGTCACTGGCATACCACTTTCAGCCACCATGTTTCATTTGGATACCATGCATGCACAAATTAATACCCGTAAGTATTGGCACTCTATGGAGGGGCACCTTCCTATTTGCTATCCCAAAACACTGGTGCTTTGATCACCCACCACTCCACATAACCATGACATTGGCTCAGAGTACCATGTACTTTGGTCATGGCATCCCATGGCCTTGCTGCTTCTGTCAAAAACCAAACAGACACATATCACTTTCCTTTACAGCAAAATATATTTGACAGAAAAAGAAACTACATGCTGCAATATTTTTGCCAAAACTAATTCCACCATTATAAGTACACTGTATTAATCTTAACACCATTTCTGCTTATTGCAGAAGGTCCTGGTCAATTAGCATGAAAGTTTTGTTACCAACCATAGATTAGTCTCAAAACAGCAGTCTTTGCACACACAAAACTTCATGGAAAGCACCATGCTCCCTAGGCTGCAAAGGCTCCCTTGTTTGTTTCAAAAGAGAAGCAATTTTTCTTGAATGTGCCATGAAGCAGCCTCTTCCACAGAAGATAACAAAGATGTTTTCCAGACAAGAACTTTTATCAGGGTAAGCCTGTGTTAAAATGCACAACCTAAACTTCTGAGCAGGGTTTTTTTTTTAAAAAAAAAATGCAAGTGTGATTTCCTGCTTCATTCTTACCGTATGAGATTCTAACACAGCAGTTTTCTCTGGAGTCTCAGAACCCAAGTAATATATTCTTATCACATGGTCAGTGCTCCCTGTTACAACAAACATACCACCTAAAAAGCAGGAGTTGGGCAGGAGATAAAGACAAGAAGAAAAAAATCAATAAACCTTACATTTTTCATTCAGCAAATCATGATTGTTGTTCAAATGGTATTGCCAGATTTGAAAAGTAACATTTCAAGAGAGCAAAATGTGAACCATGTGATGCATTTTTCCTTCAGGAGCTGTGAATTCTGAAAGTGTTTTATTATTCAAAGAACACTGACATCTATATTTGGCAAACTAAACAGATAAAATGCACACAATTATCCAAAACATTACCATAGAATTACTGCACCATGGAATGTCAGACTAGACCCTGCACACCCCCTCAATTTGGCACAATACAAGATCATGCTAAAGGTCCACTAAAATGGCATTAAGAACCTCAAGTGCTTTGCTGAAGTACTTTTTATAAAGAACCTAAACAGCAAGGAATGTGTAACAGTAATTCACTTTATTTCAGGTTTCAAGAGAAATACTCAAGGGTGGAAATCCTAGTAAGACAAACTGCCTACAAAGTAAAGCTGCTAGCAAAATCAACCTGTACTAGAACTCAATATAGATTTAATGACATAGTGCTGTGAAAAGTTAATGTTTGTGCCTGAAGCTGAAAGTTCCATCAATTATATTTTCCAAGAGCAACCAATGTCCTAGATCCCAATCATTTCCTAGATATTTTTGTCAATTAATATTGGCTCTGGTTAGAATCTTCCTAAGTCTGCATTTTCCTGAAAAAATTAGTTGTGTTTTCTGAACTAGTTAGCTCTTTCAAAAACAAGACCAACTTTTTTTTGCAGAAAACCATTCCCTACGTGGTTTCTGTTCCTGAAATATATATACATACCAGAGCTGAAAGAAGAACAAGATATTTGAACGCCAGGCCTTGACCTCTCAGCAAATTTGATTGGACGATCCCTGAAATGTAAATATGAAGCACTTTAATTACTATACCTTAAGTGGTGCAAGGGTTATTATATAAACCTGTTAAGAAAACAATTTATATTTGTACAATATGAGCTGCTAGAACTGCAGCAGTCCATAGAATACGATCCCGGTTGCTAACATGCAGAGAAAGTAACATCCCTGCAACGTTAACAGTTTGCAAAATAAAAATTGGTAAGGTATTTGTCTGCAGCCTGTCAAAACTAAACCAAACCTGGATAAAGTTCGTGAATACAGATATACAGAATCAGTTAAGTTATAGTTTTCCTAGAAAGGGTTGATCTTCTGCTTTTTCCCAAAGGCTATGAATCTACTGGAGCCACTCAACAAAAAGAAAAGCCCCTTTTTAAAAAGCTATTTTAAAAAATCCCAATTCAACTGAAAATCCCAATTCAACAAAAATTGGTGTGCTAGAAGTTTGAATGGAGGGGAACCTCAGAAACGCAGGCTAAATGTCTGCCAGCCCTCTCTATCGAGCTATTCTTAATGTTCTTTTACATATGGAGAGGGTAGAAACATCTGACCTGTGGCTGGGTTGTAGCCTACTGCTTAAAGAGTTACATGTGTACTTCCACCCACTTTGCCTCTGGTCACACCCATTTCTTCCTCTGGTGCTGCCTGTCGCCGGCATGTGGGGCCCCCAGAAGACTGCTCAGGAGAGAATGCAGCTTTCAGACTGGAAAAGGTTCCTCACCACTGGCTTAGGGAAAGACCAGTGAGCAAATTATGCCAACAGTCCCCATCAGATTACAGTCTACCTCTGCACCCCCACCTGAAACTACAAATGTCTCAGCTGTGGGACAAAATCTCCTGGCTGAGTCAGAAGACTGAGGTTGCAAACTAAAGAACGGGAAAGCCCCCGGAATTGACTGTATACCAGCAGAACTATTTAAAACCAATGCGAACTGGTGGGCCCCCTTGCTAGCCTCTCTGTTCACATATATAGATAGAACTGCACAGATCCCATACGACTGGGGGACTTCCATCATTATTCCCATTTACAAAAAAGGCTCGAGGGACGATCCCTCCAACTATAGACCTATAAGCCTCCTGAATATAATAAGTAAATTATACGCTAAACACCTCAGCGAGAAACTGTGCGAATGGATAGAAAGAGCGAAGATTCTTGATGATGCACAGGCAGGATTTAGACAAGGGAGATCCACAATGGATCACTGCCTGATCTTACAGCACCTAGCTGAGAAATACACGTTGCACCACAAACACCACCTATTCGCAGCATTTGTAGATTTTAAAGCAGCCTTTGACTCCATCCCAAGAGCTCGACTCTGGGACAAACTCAACAAACCATCCATAGACCGACGTCTGCTGCTACTAATATACAAACTGTACAGCAACACACGACATCGTATAAGATGCAGCCAAGAAGGTCAACTCTCTAATTTCATTAGAACAACAAAGGGAGTTAAACAAGGATGCATTTTGGCCCCCTTTTTGTTCAACATCTATATAAACTCCCTAATAGACTATCTACAAGGAGCGGATACACACGCCCCAAAATTAGCAGACAAAAAACTGCCTATCCTACTCTATGCAGACGATGCGGTTATATTGTTCCAGACTCAGATGGGCCTCAAAAGAGCTCTTAACAGCTTATCCCAATATTGTAGAGAAGAGAAACTAGCAGTGAACTACCAAAAACAAAAATCATGGTTTTCTCTAACAAAAGGAAAATATACAGATGGAATTTAGACAATCAGGAGATTGAACAAGTGACATGCTTTAAATATCTAGGAGTGATATTCCAAGCATCAAGGAAGAAGACTGCCCACATAAACTACAGCTCCTTTACAGCACAAAAAAGTACAACAGCAATCCTAAGATTCCATCGTACAACGGGAGGAAATTTCATTCCTGCTACAATTAAACTATTCGTTGCAAAACCAACAGCACAAATCCTATACGGCGCACCACTCGTCTCCCTCTCTAATCTAGACCCATATGAGAAGATACAATCAGGTTTCCTTAGATCACTCCTGCAAACACCTAAATGCGTCCCAAACGCCGCCCTACGACTGGAAGCGGGCTTATACAGCATTAAAGCCAAAGTATGGATAAGAACCTTATGCACTTGGCTAAGACTTAACAACTCGCCGGTTGGACTACTTTCCCTGATGCTTCTTGACAAATTCCAATCTAGCTGGTTGAAGGGCATTCTCAGAAAACTGGCCACATATGGTCTCTCCCCAGAGTATTTATTAAGTTTAGAAAGGGGAAGGGCCAAGAACATAATCAAAGAAAGACTCAGGGACATTGAAACCCAAAATGACTTTAACCAACTTCCGATAACTTATAAACTTCTATACAATACTCAAAGACCCCATCTAGCAAACTATCTCAAAGTTCTAGACAACGCTAAACACCGATGGGCATTTTCCAGGGCCCGCTTTAACGCTCTCCCTTCAGCTCTTCTAGAGGGAAGATACAATAAAATACCGATCGAACAAAGATTATGTCCCTGTAACAGCAATGAAATCGAAACCACTGGGCATGTCATCTTATACTGCCCATTATATCGAGACTCAAGAAAAGAGCTGATCGAACCGATTCTGAGGAAAATACCTCGTAGTACAGACGACACCTATATCAGACACCTCTTAGCTGACAAGAGCCTGAAATTAACAGGTCTGTGGCAAAGTACTGTTACATTGCAACAAGAATAAGAGAGCAATGATGTCTACAAAGGAGTTCAAACTGTAAACATCGAAGGAACGATAACAAACAGTAGCAACTCCTGAATTGAATTTTAAAAACTTAAAACTCGAAACCTGGTCATAAATATAAGCACCAATTCTGTGAACTGGCCATATTTTTACTGCTACTTGTAGCACAATACTACTTTTAATGTCATATTTTATAAATTGCTTCCTGGTCATTGACCGTATTAAAGATATTTGATTTGACTGAGGTTGCAATCCTTTACCCAATTTCCTGGGAGTGCTTTTTAGTAGAAATGTATAGAATTGCACTGTTAGGAATACTCTTCAAGAGGGCAATTTCCTATTCACTGTGCTTGTAGGGAGATTCAGAGGCTCTACCAAAGGACTGAAGATTTCAATGAGGATACACAATGGTAAGAATCGACAAAGTTTTGTTAAAACATTTGACTTAGCAAAAAATTAATTCATCTCTTTTCATGGCCATATCAAACTGCAGCCTAGAATTCCATTCTTTTACATAAAAGTCTAAAAAGGGGGAGGTTCTGGGAGCTTAATCTGAAGAGACAGCATGGACAGAGCCATGCCAAAGTTCGGGGGGGGGGTGATGCAATCCCTGATGGCATTAGATAGTCCTGCTTTGCAGGAGTGTAAAAATTTAGGCAAATCAATCAATAGAATAAATCTCTAGGTTGGGAAATATCTCTGCCTCAGCTTCCACTCAGTTTAGCATTGGAATGGAAACTTTTTCCAGCCCAAGGGTCACATTGCCTCAGGGAAAACCTTCTAGGGACAGCATGCCAGCATTGAGCAGGTCCAAAGACAGAAGTGGGCAGTGCAACAGGCATGACTCTTAGCATGGTATAGCAGTCTGTATTCCCATCATGCAAAAGTCACAAGTTTTACATACACGCACCTCCACTGAGGCAATCAAAAAGCATCATCACAGCTCAATTTCATATTTGTCAAGCAAAAGCACTCAAGCACAGAGCATGGCAGGTGACCCCAAGAGAGTCTTAAGGACCAGACAAAAAGGCCAAGAGAGCTGCAACTGTCCCCTGGGTCTAAGGTTGCACATCCCTCATTTAGACCATGTTGAACAAAATAGAACAATGGTTCAGCTCAATGAAAAGGTGCTTCTAGGAAATACAGGATTGCTGTAGTTATGAATTCTCCATCCAAAACATCAAGACTCAAAAGTAATGTGCCACTGAGGCCTTTTTTGTGGCCTTTCACAACATTTGATGCCACGCCCCCCCCCACTGCAGTGGGCTTGGGGAAGGAGGTGTGAGGGTTCTGACAGGATCCTAGAGTTCTCCTGCCTCCTTCCCAAAGCCTAGTTAGCACTCTTCCAGATTTGAGAAGGAGGTGGGAGGGCTCTAGGAACCCACCCGAACCTTACACCTAGCTTAGCCAGCTTTGGAAAAGCAATGCAAGGGCTGGAGGGGTGACAGATTTTTGGGCTCACTTCCCCCCAGTGGAACAATAGTGTGCTGCCCGTGTTGAATTACTCTTGCAGCCCCCTTGATAGAAAACTTGGACAGCCCTGGTTTAAACCCTACAATGCTCTACAGTGACCCAAGGTACATATGGTGAAGTTTATAGCACAGCAGAAGCTAAGTCATATTGTGGCACACCACCAAGCTGACCTAAGAAAACACTGATGTGTCCAAAAGCAGAAAACTGAGCTAAAATAATAAATCTAATGAAATATACGTACTTAAATTTCATTGTATCTGAATGCCATTGCCAGAAGCAGATAGTTCCATCAGCACCTGTAGAAGTGAGGTATCGAGTTGTTCCTTTTCTTGACGGAGAAAACTAAAGATTTTAGAAAAAGATATTGTAAATTGGTTTTAGGATTTTCCCTCATTCTTCCAGCTTAAAAAAAACAACAAAAAACTATTTTACTGGGCATATGAAACACACTCACTGAATAAATATTGTTCTGGACTGCTTTTGACCATGAGAAAGTAAGCAAAAAATAATAAGGCTAATCAATAAAACAGGCCCATCACAAAATTGTTTGATGGATGGAAATTTCAAATTTGAGGTGGATTTAACATGCATTTGGCCAAGCAAATGTAGTCTTGTAACTCAGTGCTAAACAAAAGCAAAGAAAAAAACAACACTGTTCATCTGCTTTACCTGTATAGAGGTTATTGAAGCTGTGTGGCCAAGCAGCACTGCAACTGGTGCACAGGTTCGAAGACACCAGACTCTGACTACTTTGTCACAGCTGCCTGCAGCAAGGAGGGTGTTTTCATAATTAACACCCATGTCAGAAATTTCAGCCGAATGTCCTCGTAGTGTTGAGAGCAAACGTCCATCATCTGTAGCCCAAATTTTCACCAAGCAATCATCCGAACCCTAATGTTTCACACAAAAAAACAATATCCAAAGTATAACATGCAGAAGTGCCACTGTTTTCACTATGACCCTAGAGATGTATGCATCCCTTCTTTTTGCTAACTGCCTGAGTGCCATTAGGTTTGGTAGTGGTAGTAGTTTATCCCTGGCCTTCCTCTAAGGAGTGCAAAAAAAGTGTAAACAATTTCCTGCACCCACCCACCCTTTATCCTCACAACAATCCTGTGATCACAATAGTGAATGTGTTTGGTCTTGGGTCAACCCCTGTTGCTTGAACATTTCTTAGCACTGCTGCCACTGGAAAATGACCTTAATCCAACAATTAAGCATAATTATATTGTATTGCTTATGGCTCATATGGTCATTGCTCAACAATGGAAATCATGTATAATGCTATTTAGAGATAGCATTCAATAATGTCTGGGATATATCCATGTCTTAATGTCGTACACAACACAGACAAGTGATGAGTGTTGCAGTGAAGAAAGACTGGTTCAAGAGGGTGGATGGACTATACTGAAGCATAATAATCACATAAAATGTAATGATTCTTTTAAGGTAATTAATTCATTTTCTGTTATCTATTCTGAGTCATAAATAAATAAATATTAAATACCTTCATTGTCATTTAAAATCACTGGGATAATTAAAAGGACAAGGGTGAAGCTGTCGAAGGTCATAAGGTCACACTGAGTGTATGAGTCTATACTAATTATTCTACAATCTGCAACTGGGTTCTGTTATGTTTACTCAAAGCTGCTATTTGGTTTTCTTGAAGTCAATAAAAAATATTTTTAAAGACCAGCCTATGATGTTGTGATCACCCTGTGATGTTGGACTGAGAGAATGAAATTGACCCAAGGTCCAGTAGTGATTAGGGATTAGAACTCAGATCTCTCTGATGACTTAGTCCAATACTCAAACCACTACAACAGAATGCTTTCATGCCCTGTTTGAGAGTCATGTTTTGACTGTTGTGAGAAGCAAAACAAATAGCTAGATGGATCTTGAGTCTGGTCCATCCTAACTTGGAGGGCTTCATGCTGTCCTGCAAAGAAAATGCTACAGTTGTATGAAGGACTAGCAGCTTCTGTAACATTCCTGTAAGTTGTTTGTGAGCTATAAAAGAAAAGTAGCAAACACGAAACCAAGGACATTACATAACATTCCTCTTGGAAAAAGTGGGGTTTCTAGATGATTGACTATAAGCAAAATATAAAACCTTTTCATTTTCTTTTCAAAGGACACATGCATTCTTTCTTTTCCTTTTCTTTTTTAGTAAAGATCACATAGTCTTCAACTGGTTGGTTGGGAGCCACTGCCACAGAGGTATGGAACCTCCGAACATGAGTTTAATTGGGTCGTCAGGTCTCATCATTTGTCCTAAAGACCATTTCAGCCAAGCACATTTCAGCCAAATACCCAATATCATATAGATATGACAGCAGGTGTGGGCAGGTAACTGCAGGACTTGGATGAAAGGGTGCCTGCAAAGCCCCCTGCACAGGGCTGTTGGTGCTTGGGAAGCACAGTACAGGCATTTTTGCAGAAGTTTTATTTCAAACCACGTAGGCAAAAATGGGCCACCAAGTGATTTACGGCTTTACAACTGGGCTGTCCCATCCAACTGCCAAGCTTGACCCACAAGTGTGTGTGGAGATAAAGATCCAGCCCCCTGGTCAGATCCAGTTCCCCATGTCCAGATCTAAGGTAGATCACAACAGAAGCATTACCTACCACTATACAGATATATGCTAAAATATATGAGGGGTAAATAAGAAATGAAGCCTCAGATGTGCTTGATTTAAAGGTGGTTCCTAGGTCCGAAAAGGGTATTTTGAGAGAGCAAAACAAACAAACAAAGTCAAGCAATGTTTTGAAATATTGCAGTTTTCTTCAACTCACTGTGAAAATTCGCCGCCCAGTGCGATCAAAGGCTACACAATACACAGAGGATAGATGCCCAAGAATTCTCTTGTGCATCTTGATGTGCTGGTAGAAGGACGAGGGGAACAAATGGCTGAAACGCCCATATCCAGTTGTTTGCCTGGCACAGATTATATTTACTAAAAGTGAGGGAGAAGGGAAAAACACAGTTATCCCAATGACTTAAATTGCTGTAAATCTACTTATCCACCAATAAAACAGAGGTTCGCATGGCAACCATTAGAGCAGTATCAGGTGTAACAACAGGTCTGGCCTACTTATGGCTAATATTAGTTGAAAGCATGTAAGGCCATCTTGGAAGAAGTCATGGTGGGTGCAAGGGGACTACAGAAGCGCCACCCTCCCACTAAAAAGCCCCTACACAGTATAAGGGCTGTTACAATGTGTTGGCATCAGTAGTACAGGCCTGGCAGTGCCAGATTTATGGACTGCAGGGCCCTGTGAATGGTCCTCTATATTCTTGCGCTCAAAGGTGATTTCACCAAAACATGCTGGGTATTTCACTACAGTGGTACCTCGGGTTAAGAACTTAATTCGTTCTGGAGGTCTGTTCTTAACCTGAAACTGTTCTTAACCTGAAGCACCACTTTAGCTAATGGGGCCTCCTGCTGCTGCTGCGCCGCACGATTTCTGTTCTCATCCTGAAGCAACGTTCTTAACCCGAGGTAATATTTCTGGGTTAGCGGAGTGTGTAATCTGAAGCATATGTAACCTGAAGCGTATGTAACCTGAGGTACCACTGTATTTTATTAAACATATTTCATGCCATTTTGAACACTGCCTCTTTTTTCTGCTCTTGCTTATTTTGTTAAGCCTCCTGTTACTGCCATTTAAAGCTGTTCCTTTCAAAGTTTCTGGTTTTTTAAATAAGCACTTTTATTTTTGAGCCAAGCTTCACATTCTGTCACTGTTATACACATACATACCCAAAGCTGGGTTTTGAGATTTTTTTCTGTTTATAAACAAAATTTAAAATTATTTATTTTTACTAACGTTTCGGGTTTTATTTTTATTTTTGCTCAGTAGAATCATTAAGTGTTATCTACTCCCACCATAATATCTTTAAAAGAGGTCATCTAGATGGTGAGTCAGTGGATGCTGTTTGCTCACAATCAGGATTTCATTTACTGCCATAATTCAGCATCTACAAATTAAACAAATTCCCCCAGACAAACATGTCTACGGAATGAATAGTCCTGCCTTTACAGCAAGAGACTAGATAGATGTATTTTTGTCCTTTCCATTTTTTTATAATACAACTTTTTCTTACAGGAAAAGTAAGTGCATATTTTAATGCATTCTACATGTACCATGGCAGGAATTGCTGATGATACTAATAATGTTCTGGCTGGAAAAAAATCGCCTGCCCCATTATATTAATGCTCTTTCTAGGATGCCATAAATCTAAGTTAACTTTTGGGCTAAAGAAAAATTTCCAATATAAGAAGCCACTCCATAAATAATAAACATGCACTTAAACACTAAGTTATTCCTTACCCACATTTGGTGGTTTTGAATAGTTTGAAGGTACTTCAGGGGGCCTTCCTCTGTGGAGAGCTGCAAATGCTGATACTTTCCAAGCTGTGTGCCTACAATCTGTGTGAATAAGATTCAAAGCTGGTAAAAAACTTGAGCTGAATGCTTGAGTTCTACAACCAATACTGCTTTGTTTTGCCAGAACGATGAAAGCCGTGACTTCTCTGAGCTCGTTCTCATTCCTCCCTTCTCTGCAAAGCTATTTCTGGGAAATGCTTGTACTTATTCAGAAAAAAGCTTTCATGAGACGCAATGTTGCCTGTTTCAACGTTTCATTTCAACAAATTACTTTCTTTCTGCCTATTTGCCCATTTATTTTCAATGTTAACCAGAAGTGCAATTTATGTAAAAAACACAGAATAACATGTTATTTTCACTGCTTGCTTTATGTATGGTAAGTTTTTTTAATATAAAGTTAAGCCACTTTCAGGGCCTCTGTAAAATGGTACTAGAGGTTTTAAAATATGACAAAGGAAAAATGCCACATATCTTACCTTTGGCTGCCCTTAGTAATGACTGCCGTCCCACTCCCAGCAAAGTCTGCACCCCAAGCACACTCTGTGGGATCTCCTTATCCAATAAAGGTCCAATGCGTTCACAGATTTTGAGAAGATAGTTTGGAGGGATGTGAGCATTGGCTGCCACCTAAATTATTTTTTTAAAAGATAATTAATGTAAGAGCTTTTCTTCTATTTCCCCAACATATCAGCATTTTTCAGTTTATTGAGTGCCAAGCTCCTGTTTCGTATTTATCTGATTACAAAGTGGAGGGAAATGTCCTCTATCCCACGCCTAGCACAGAGAGTACCTCAAAATACAATGCAGTAAAAGATGAAAGGAAGCAGCACATCTGCACCAATTGGGGAGGCACTTTTTTCCAAAGTGCTTAACTTCCCAAGACTGTTAGGAATTATTTTTGTTGTTGTTTAGTCATTTAGTCGTGTCAAACTCTTTGTGACCCCATGGACAAGAGCACGCCAGGCACTCCTGTCTTCACTGTTAGGATTTTTTTAATTTTTTCATTAAAAAAATAAGCTAGAAAGCTTAAAAGCAAAAACAAACAAACAAACCCAAAACTGTGCCCAGTTCCTAAACTGCTGTGAATAGCAGTCTCCTTTGAACTAGTGCTCTCAACCACACCATTCTCAGGTGAAGAAGCTGCAGACACAGAGGACATCATGGAACAGAAGGAGGGTTTGCTCTCAGAATCGGTCTCAAATATCCCTATCTCCTTGGGAGTTCCAGTATCAGAGAAGCCTGTGATGCCAGTGCCTCTCTGCTTGCATTCCTCAGACTTCAAGGAATCTAATCTGGAGGCCACCTAGAACTTTGGCCTCCCTCATGCCTTTTAAGCGTTGAGACTCTGTTCATGGAGCAAGGAATGTTGCTCAGAGGAAGCTGCAATCCTCTTTAAGGCTGACTGGGTTTTTTGCTTGTTGGAGCAACATTCAAGCCTGCCCTGTCCAACTGCCACTCAGAACTGCCCAACTTGCTTGTTTCCTTTTGAATTTTGATCCCTGCTTTGCCTATTCTTACTTAAATTGACTGACCCTCTGCTTGTGTGTCCACCAACCTTTCCTTGACCTGACTTTGCTTCCTAGTTTTAGAACCAGTGCTGGCAGTATGTGGCCTGTTGTTCCTAGACTCTGTGCCAAGCACGAAGGCCACACTTGGGCAAGAACCCAATTCCACAGCTGGTACCGCTGCCTAGGACACAACACAGTAATTGAGCTAATACAGTAAGCCTGCAACTTATGCACATTAAACTTGTGTACATTCAGGTTTACACACATGGCAAAAAAGATTAAAAATTAGAAAGGAGGCAGAAAGGGGCAGGGTGCTAGGGAAAATGGCATTGGCAATCCCAGCCCCCACTGAACCCAACTATACACGATTCTGGCTTTAGGCACGATCTGCGGAATACAACCACATAAGTTGAATTACTATACAAGATTCTATGAATGTGCAGCAACTCCCAATAAAGCTTCAACCCTCCTCCCCCAACAAGTCTCTGACTATGTCTTGATTCAGGCATTGCACCAAACTGCAACTTGTGCTTCCAAATGAATAGGCAAATAGGAATTTGGCAGCTGCTTATCTGCTTTCATATAAATCTGCCTCACACCAGATCAGACCATTTGTCCATCTAACCCTGTGGCCTGGTGCACACTTAAAAAGCCATGATTATCAAGGTCAAAACCATGCCAGAACATACTGCCTGGTTGCTCCTGCTTCACTCCTCCCCTGGTGATCATAAAGACATGGTTTGTTCTTGGCTTGCTGATCATAGTTTCTTGGGGAGAAAGAAACCACAATCCTGGTTCAGCTGTAACTACAAGTCAAGGCTTCATGGCTTGTTCCTTCTGTCTGTGTCAGTGGAGAAGCCAAGTGGGAGTACACTGGCAGCAGGCACGAGTAGTACTGCTCAATCCTGCAAAGCCATTGGCCATGGCTTATCATTATGTGTGAACTAAGCTTTGAATAGCAGTGACTATTTCTTCTTGGGCAGAAATCCTTTCCCAGCTCTGCTACCTGAGCTTCTTTTTAACCAGAAATGACAGAGACTGAACCCAGAAGCTCGTTAAATTCAAAGTACATGTCACCAAACTTTCACTTTTAATCTGCTCAGAAGTCCCATTTCTATGGTATGATCAACTCAGAAGATGTAACAATGTTCATAACTATGGTATCAGGTCAAACAATAATTAAACCAAAACACAATTTGATATTACATAAATTTATATCAAGGAACCAGCTAGTTGAGAATATCTGAACCATATTTAAAAGATTACAAGTGTTCCCCCTCTTCCACTGCACACACCAAAGTAAATTGCATTTAAATGTCACTGTTAATACTAACCAGGGCTTGAGACAGGTTTTGAAGAAGTGGTATCTGCATATAATTTCAACTGTTTAAAAACTTTTTTTTTTTACCATACCTAACACAAGTAAGTAGCATTTCTGTTCAAGCTGTAAAGTAAATGAAGTGTGGAAAGACAGTATATATAGTGTCTGCCAATAATTATAAACTTTACAGCCCTCAATTCCCCTGTGAGGATACCCTGAGTAGACACAACATGGAGGAAGTCAATCTCTACTACTGAACAGATTTTTTTTATGACGGTGAACTAAACATTGAGTTACACATATAATTCTTCTCTGTGTAGACAAAATAGAAAAGGGAGTTAATTCTTACTTATAGCTATTTCACATAAAAATGCTTTTGCCTCTATGTGATCCTTCCTCAGGTAGGGAATTATGTGGGAAAATGTACTTTGCTGAAATATCCATGATTTTGAAAACTCCAAGAAATGCAACAATAAGGGTAATCACACAAGCACAATGAAACAGGCTTGTTGTAAGAGTCATAGAGCAAATATGCAACCAACATACTACTACTACTACTACTAATAATAATGTAATAATAATGTTCGCTTCATGGATCACTGCCTTGCCGTGGAAAAGGGGCTTGAATAACTCAGAGAAGCTATGAGCTATGCCGTGCAGGCCACCCAAGATGGACAGATCATAGTGGAGAGTTTCGACCAAATGTGATCCACCTGGAGCAGGAACCGGCAAGCCACTCCAGTATGCCTGCCAAGAAAACTCCATGGACAAAGACAACAGGCATATAGTGCCTGGCATGCTCTGGTCCATGGGGTCACGAAGAGTCGGACACGACTAAATGACTAAACAACAACAATAATAATAATTCAATAATAATAATGTATTTCTTATACCCTGCCCATCTGACTCTGTTGCCCCAGTCAACAGGAAAAACAACAACGGCACGAACACCAAACATTAAAAGCTTCCTAAAACAGAGCTGCCTTCAGATGTCTACCAAAAATTATATAGTTCTTTTAACTCTTTGAAATCTGCTGAGGACATTCCACAGGGCAGGTGTGACAACTGAAAGTTTCCCTGTAGTTTCACTTCTCACAGTGAACAGACTGACAGAAGGCCCTTGGAGCTGGAACTCAGTGTCTAGGCTGAATGATGGGGATGGAGATCCTCCTTCAAGGACAGGCAACGGCTGATTTATGCACGTCCGATTGGTGCATGATCCCACACGAGTGCACGGTGCCAAACCCAATGTGACCCTAAAATGTCACTAAAAGAGCGGAACAGGGAAAGCAATGGGTTGGGGTAGAATGCTTTACACGGGCCCTGCCAGCATAAGCAGGGCTCCATGCAAAACATGGATTGTCTGTATACAAGGCTGGAGTCCTGTACTACTTTGAGCACACAAAAATCAGTAGAAAATATTACCATGATATGCAGAATTTAAAATAAACGTAAGCTGGCTGGCTGCAGGAGCTTCCTGCAGCCAAACAGAAGCTGCGCTTTGGTTTCCGAACATTTTGGAAGTCAAACAGACTTCCAGAACGGATTCCATTTGACTTCCAAGGTACAACTGTATTAGGAACATTTGGCTATTCTCTTCACACAAATTAAAATACGTTGCGTAATCAAATTTTGCATTTTAATGTTATTCCAAATTCTAACATTTATAGCTCTTTAAAATTCATATGAGGATTCTCATAATTCTCACATGATTATATAATTTAGCAGTGAAGTCTCTTACTATTTATTGTTAATTCACCAAAGAACGAAGGGTGGAATACATAGGTCTCCCATTTTTCCCTTCACAATACCCCTATGAGGAAGCTTAGGGTGAGAGAGTGCTGCTTGCCCAGGTAGGAATTTAAATCAACTAAGTCAGGAATGGAGAACCCTTTTCGGTCTGAGGGCTGCATTTTTTCCTGGGCAACCTTCTGGAGACCACATGCCAGCAGTGGGCAGGTTCACAGGCAAAAGTGGGTGCAGCAATGAATATAAGCTAAATTCTACACACACTCCTCCATATCCTCCATCCAGGCAAGTGAAAGTCATCATCGTTCAAGGCAAAGCCACTCAAGGAGGATGTGAAGCAGGGCCTGTGAGGGATGTGGCCTGAGGATAGCCCCAAGAGCCAGACAAAGAGGACTAGAGGGCTGCATTTGGCCCAAAGGCCTGAGGTTCTCAACCCGTGCTCTAAGGCAAACATTTTCTAGCAACTTTGCCACACCAGCTCTCTTGCAGACAAGGGAGGGGACAGGGATAACAGATCAGAACAGCAAGGTTACCAAGTAAATCCTGCGGGTAAGCTAAAATTTGAACTACACACTTCACAGCTTACAAACTGCATTAAACCAGATCTCAGCAAGTATCTAGCAATTTATATCCCACCTTCCCAATTGTAACAAATGCCCAAAGTAGCTTATAATACCGTGTTCCTTAAAATCCAAAAGCTACTTAAAAAGCTACAGTAAATAAGGAACAGCAGTAAAACCCAGGGCTTATAAATGTTGCAAGTGTGCTGAATCAGTGGGCACATTTGCACAACCAAATCTTAGATTAATAGCAAGCAGTGGACAGCTGCTCACACCCCCTTTCTTGTGCCCAGATGACAAGACCCCATTCCCTGCCTCACTGATGTGGTCCAAAAGAAAGCAGAGCACTACGTTTGGTACCAGCTTGGCTGCAGGAGTTGCCAGAAGGAGGTTATAAGGCACCATCCAACCATATTTGTGCAGGATTTACTGCTTTTCTTCTCCCAAAGAAGTTTAGGTTCAGATTTTCCTTCTCCTAGATGGGAGTTCCCGCCGGGCTCCCACGGCTTGCGGAGAGCTGCCTGCATCCCAAAGCCTGGGGCGCGCTGAGCTTCAGGCAGATATCCGCAAGCCTGGGGAGACCGGCGCGACTTCCCACCGGGCTCCCTAGGCTTGTGGATAGCAGCCTGTTCTGGGGGCTGGGGTCGGGGGAAGCTCGGGCTACCCCCGCCCCAGCCCCGCGCCTGGGGGGGAAATAATTTTTTTTCTTTATTTCCCCCCCAAAAAACTAGGTGCGCCCTATGGGCCGGTGCGCCGTATGGGGTGAAAAATACGGTACTTTCCCAGATGGACAAGCCCCATCTGCCCCACACTTCTGTCTACAGCATGTGCAGAAACCACCTTCTTGATCATTGGACTTACTATTGGTCCCCTCTGCTCAATCCGCCACAGCCTGTCTTTGAATACAAGGGAAGTCTCTAACTCACCAAAGGTTTGAGAGAACCATTGGCTACCCTCACCTGGTTTAGCTAGTCAGTCGAAGCAGTTTCCTAGGTGTAGCCAGTTTTGCATGCTGACAGCTTCTAGGAACCACAGGTGAGAGCTGAGTGCAGGGTGGAGACCAAAGAAGACAAACTACCCCCCAAGAAGCACAAAGTGTTCCACACCAGAGGTACTACTGCACATAAAATTATTATAATAAAAAACATCAGAGCACTAGCCCTTTCCTTAAAAACAGTGAGTTCCCAAGGATTTCTTTAACTTTTAAAGTTATAATGTAAATTTGTGGCTCATGGCAAGAAATTTTTTGAATAAATGCTGCTTGTTAAGTAACACTGCCACAGCGAAACACATTTAAATCAAAGGTTGGGAAAATACTACATAGTAGCACAGTTTTGAAAGAAAGATTTTTATGCAGGTAAAATGATTTCCAGTTGTTAAAAACAACAACAATAAATCCCCAGAGCACTAAAGCTGACAGATTCCTTACCCAAGGTATTTCTTATATCTTGTTGATTTTTTTTATTGGCATATCTGAACTGACATATTCACAAGGAGAGATAATTTGCAAAAAATCTCATGTTTAAGTCTCTGTTCCTCTTTTTAAAGAACCATCTACACAGATAGAACACTGATACCTGAACAAATAAAATTATCTGGCATAGAAATAACTTTTTTGATTTTTCAATATCTGGCCTGAAAAACAATATAAACTTCAAAGGTATAGAATAAAATAACTCAAAGGTATAGAATAAAATTCCAGACATGTATGGAAATCAGATGCCTAAAATGGCATCTGGGGGGAATATTTTTCCAGGGCTTTTTTGTGGGGCGCAAAGCGAGGGCTCCAGCTGCCCATGATGCCACTGCTGTTGGTGCTGACCACTGCCTCCCTTGCTTGGCCATGCATGGCCACCCTGTCAGAGAACAGCTTCTCCGAGATACGGGTGGAGTGCTAGGTAGCAGCGGTGCTTCGGCATGTGGCGGCGGTGCAGTATCCTAAGCACAGCGGGCTCTTGCTGCGACCACAGTGCCAGCACCTGGCATGCCTTTCCCAGGCATCCCTTCCAAAGTCTGCCTGCCCAGCCACAAGGTGTGAGCACTCCTGCCCAATGGTTCCCACCATTTCCTGCAGGTAAAGGGGAGGAAACGTGGGCTAGTTTGTGTGAAAGAGAGTGTGTGTGCACTATACAGTTGCGGCTCTTTGGGCGTTTTTCTAAAAAGAAAGACGGGAAGCCTAGTATGCTCTCTCCGCCCCCCCCCCCAGGTTAAGTTAGATCAGGAATAGCCGACATGGTACTTTCCGGACATGTTGGATTAAAAACCATTAGCCCAAGCCATCATGGCTGACGGTTAGGCATCATGGGAATTATAAGTCCAAAACATCTGGAAGTCACCATGTTGACTACCAGTAGATGAGCAGTAGATAATCCTACCCCCAACATTCTAAAAAGCAGGAGAGATGTAGAGTTCTACTGCCAAAAGAATACCTGTATTCTACTAGTCAATAAGAAGGTTGTTTGTCTAGTTAAGTATCACATCTCTATGCACCAGGCATACAAGTTACTCCCCTCAGAAAGTTCAGTGCTCCCAACTTCACAAACAAGGACTTAAGATGAACCCTGCTGCATCCGGGAAAGTACTGTTCCAACAGGGATTTAGTTGTCCACTATAAGAACAAGAAGTTCTTGGCTATGGCCTGATCCATCATTGCTATTCTTATCAGGCCAAAGGTCCATCAAGTCCACCACACTGCTTGGTACACTGGTCAACCTGACCCATCTAGGGAGCTCACAAATTGGAGAATGAAGCAAATAATGTGACACACACAGCCAATTCAATCAACTGGTATTCAGAGTAATACTGCTTCTGAAGCTCCAAGTTTGTTTCATCTGTGTTGGCTACAAACTATTAATCTATCTGTCAAAAAGCGATCAAAGCCCTTTTAAAGATAATTTAAGATAGTGGCCATAATCATATATTATGACAGGGAATCCCATAAATTAATTACATCAGTGTAACCTATACAAGTGATCCCTCTTTTTATTATTATTCTTTTGTCCTGATGGAATTGTCATAGATAACTGCCTAGCTGACCAGAGGCAGAATGGGACAGGCAGGAGAATAAAAACCAAATTAACCAAGGTCAGAACAAAAGATAACTGGGTTCTGGTGGCTTAGTACATTTAATGCAGTGCTGCAAATCAATAGTTACCTTAACCATTTGCAAAGTGAACAACTAAAAAGCGCAATTTGTTTTCACCCTTGGTATGAAGCCCTGAAAGGGTAGACCAGAGGCCAATTAATCCGTAAATAAAAAGCCACTTGATTCTAGCAAACAGGTATGATTGGACAGACATTTGGAGTCCTGGGTATGTCAAGATAAGGAAGAAACAAAACAATGAAGCTGCTTTGTTTTGTAAAAACAGCTGCCAGTAAAGAGAATTGGGAGAATATTCATGCTTCTTAAACAGGATTTGTTGTTATGCAGTTGGTGGTCCAACCCCTTTAGCAAGGGGGCTACTCTGATTACACTATTGTTCATAAGCAGAACCCAGGGGTCCTACCTTGAATAAAATATTGGGGATCCCAAGTAAGCCTTGTCCCCACATAATCAAATGATGCCGTGCATGGACACCATCTGAATGACAATGCCTATCAATATTTTTTATGGGGTGGCTAGGAATTGGCTCCTATGGCAGAACCCCATCACCACTAATAGCTTTGGGGCAGCCTTGCCTCTAGTCTTCTGAGCTAGAGTTAAAGCTGAAACCATGCAATTTTTACACCCACAGAGTACACCCACTGAAATTAGAGGACCTAAGTTTATCACGTTCATTAATTTTAATAAGTCTACTCTGAGCAGGGCTCACATAGCTGGACTTTACCACTGTCCGGCCTTTCTGGCACTTGTAGCTAATGAATTATAGTATATGACATCATGACCATCTAGACTTTTTGCTATAATGTACATATTAAGACACATATACTCTTTATTTGCATTATGAAGGAAATAATATCAACCTCCCTTACCTGGTGCCTGCAAAAGCAACTGAGACAATGTATGCATGTAAAACATTTTTTACACTGAAAATGTGCTACAAAAATATTTAATCCATGATCCTATCTGCACTTACTCTGCAGTCTTCCTCCAGAGATACCTTTGGTCTCTTTTCAGGGCAAGTTAATAATTTCAGCCTTGTTTGTCTTCTGCTAGTCTGTGAGAATCATATTTTATCTTGCTGTTTTGATTTTATTTACAAAATTACCTTTTACTACATATTTTAAATTTAGAACACTACTTGGAAAGGGACTTCAGTGTGAAAAGCAGTTGAGACTTATTAGAACATATCTGCACAGTGCATTGCACATCGTATTGTTATTGTGCTTCTTTGCATATATACTCCAGACTACACTAGTAGCAAGCTAGTTTAATTCCCAAATGGCAATCTATTAGGGGCTTTATCTAAAGCAAGAGCATCTGCTCCAGTTTAGATAGTTACAAAAAAGTAATAGTAGCTCAGTGAAAAGCATCTGCTTGCCTGCAGAAGGTCTCTTGTTCAATCGTTGCATCTCCAGGCAGGGCTGATAATGTTCCCTGTCTGAAATCCTGGAGAGCCACCAACAGTCATTGTAGACAATACTGAGCATGATGGATCAATTGTCTAAGGGTATAAAGCAGCTAACTAGGATCCCAAGTATGAAAATGACTATGCTGATGTTGTGCTTGTTTGCCAAAATAACACTATTTACCCTAAGGCTCAAGGCCAGTTCTGACACTATCCTTTGCATCTTCAGAATGGGTCAGGAGTAGTTTGGTAGATGCCTTTTAAGTAGAACTGCAGATTTAGAAGAATCATATCTAGTCAAAAGGCCTGCCAGTATGCAGGGAATCCCGTACTAGCTTTGCATATAAGTCCACAAAGACAAGCACACAAACACCTCAGAGCAAGGAGACTCAGGTCTGATAATCTACTCATCCAAGCAAATGGTCAACTCCAAGTCTAACACATCTCCAATAAATTATCATCCAGCTTTTTCTCAGTAAGTTTAAAGCACATCTATATATGCACACAAGAAACTTAATAACTTTAATTATATGATAGCCAGTTCCCAGTACCTTCGGATTGCAGCTCTCAGGATTACCTGGGCAAGGCAAAACAAAAACACAACCTTATGGGGTAAAAAAGGTTGTTTAAAAGATATTGTCTCCATTTAAGGAAAATATAACTTGAAGAGAGTGCCTTAGCTATGGGGGAGACGGGGGGACTAGCATGGTTTTTTGCCCCAGGTGAAGCCTGCAGACAGGCACCATTGAGGCTCACTGCATGGAGGTGCCAAACGGGATCTTTGACCTAGGTGAAAAACAGCCTAGTTTCATCCCTCCTTGAACACCTTGCATTGGTCTATTACTATAGTCACATAAATTAAAACTAGGCATGGCTCTGTGAAGTCAGAGATCCAACAACTAGATCTGTCAACCTCTAGCAACTCATATTCACAACCATTTTTCTTCCACTATAGAATGTACAAATGCGCTGAGTGCATGATCATTTCTAATTATAATCACCAGTATTGGTTGAGTATATTGTTCACTTGCAGCAATAGAATAGGAGCACCTTTCCTTACAGAAAGATTCTGCCATGTAAAATAGGTGTCACAAGTACTGGTAGCAATTACTACAGTATTTGCTTGTGTAAATATACCAGCCAAGTATTAACAACCATACTCCCATCTAAGTAATATTTCATACCTATAAAGCTTGATCATTGACTCACAATCAAAGGAAGGTTTCATTAAATGAATGTCAGAAATATTTAAGTACCTTGAAAAGTCAGTGAAGACTTAAGAGAAATTAATTAATCTGATCTCCTTAAATTCACTTTATTCCCAGTCATAAGATCAGCAAAAAAAGAAGGAAGAAGAAATGCAACTTCTTGCTTATAAGAAATTACAAATCTTGCCACACAATTCTTTACATGGTTTTCCATCAGTTGTTTTTCATATTCTAATTGCACTGGCTTGTTTCTGTTTTGCCTCTGCTGGTTTAATTTTCCTGCTGGCGTTAAAAAGACAGCGGGTCAGGGGAGAGAAGCTTGACCTCAAATGGTGGAAAAATTAAACTGGGCAAGGACAGAAGGGTCCATTCAAACAAACTAAATCATATTCTTCCCTGCTTACACGAGTTTTTCCTCTCATATCTAATTTCAAAATCCACGCTCAGCAACCTGGAAATATGGAGGTATGTTTATATTACCCAGTGAGATGAAATATGTTGCTAAAGACCAGCAGCCCATCCTTATTAGCTTCCAAAAAATAAAATATTAGGTATAGGTTAAGAACTAAGGATGAGGAACCCGTATCACCCCAGGTGTTGTTAGAATAAAACTCCCATTATTCCTGATCACTGGCCATGCTAGTGGACCGTTCCCCATACATGAACTAAGGGATGGAATTAGCCCCAGTGAGCAGCTTCAGATCATCATTTATAATATATTACAATCTGAAGTGAAGTACCCACTAAACAGTTGAACATGCCCAGTGGCCAATATGAGGGGTCCTCAAAATGTCATAGGTAGACAGTGGTCAATGAGATTCATTCAGCTAGTCCACAATATGGCCACATTAAATATGCATATTTTATTGCTTCCTTTTTCCTTATATTTTACAACATGAATTCTATGGAATGTAAATTATAATAAAAGAATACAATCTATAAGAAACAAAAAAGGAATAAAAATAACAACATCATACAGCATCTAGCATAGTGCATTAGTACAAGGCTAAAAGGGAAAGGAGCAAAATTTTCAGAACTACTTGTATTCTGCAAAAAAACATAAACCTATGGAATCAAGGTGGACAGAAAACACATCAGTAGGGTTTAGATCAGAGGTGTAACAATAGTCTTCCTTTCCTCAGGCGCCTCTAAATTAAACAGGAGTACCAGACATAAGAGATAGGAGTTTATAATTCAAAAAAAGTAGTGAGCAATTACACTAACTGTGCTACAGTACCAGCAGAAGCAACCATACAATGTTGACTTTAACATCATATTCCATATAATGATCGCCACACACAGCAACTGGCATACTCCAGCATTTGATGACATAGCCCATTTCAGAATCAAAACCAGAAATGTATTTTAAAAATATGTAATATTTTATACTCAGTAAATCAATTCGCACTAATACACTTCTCACAACTCATAACTTGATGTGCCACATTATCATCTCACCAGCACAAATTGTTAAAACAAAATGAATCCAAGGACTGCTCAAGGATTGCCTTCCAATAAACTTTCAGCCCTTCTCCCTATTTACATTCCCTTTTTGGTCAGAAAGAATTACCATTCCTTTATTTCTCAAGCAAATATGAATGTTTCCCATGTTTAAAGCAATGTACTTCCATACTGATCTTCACCATTCATAAGCAAAACTTAACATATAATGACTCCCTCTATAATTTGTTTACATTCTACATTTTGATCTAAAGTGTAAAATAAATATCTATCAGCAAATGCTCAGTTTCCACATAATTTGGCTATGCAGTGGGAGTGTAGTATTTTTCTTTCAAATGCTGCTGCAAAAAAAAAAAACAAAAAAACACCTTCTGTTCAGTTCCTATCTTTAAAGCTGCAACCAATCAGCAGGCAACTCTCATTTGCAAACACGGAACTCCAGCTTGGTAGGTGCAGAATCATTGGCCTGAGCTTTGTACGTGCCCTCAGATAACCCTCCCCGTTCCCGATTCACACAAAAAATAAACCAGGAATCACTTCCCAAGTGACTAATATTAACATTACTTTTCCTTTCTCCCTCGGCTGGAGTAGAAAAGAAGGAGAAAGGCAATAATTCTGCCATATCTTCCATAGCTGAAGCAACCCCGACCCCACCTGCAAGTTTAAAAGCCAGCCTTCACTCACCAAATCCTCAAAACTTCTTCGATGCTCTTTGCCTTGCCAATCCAGGCGCCTTGGTATCAACTGAGTGGGATGGGGGAGGAGGTGCAAGGAAGAGATACAGGTCTTGCAATTAAAAGCACGTGCGAAATGGAGAAAACAAATGATTCCCTTATCTCCCAACAACTCCCCCACTGATTCTTACAGCTGCATGCCATGTCACTTACACTCACCAGATGGGTGTAAAGAAAAAAACTTCTGAAGATAAAGGAAAATAGGTTTACATGTAAAAGCTGTCCTACTTAGTGGTGGGAGAGAGCCCTTTACATTTCATGCAGCTTCTCCTTTGTTGGCCTGGAACAGTTCTTCAGAAAAGAAAGCCTATCTGGCCGTTCCACAAAGCCTCTACTAGCTCCTTGACCAAAATATACCCACTCTCTCACTCATTTGCCACCCCAGCGTGTCCCACAAGCAAGCACTACAGGGGGAAATAATGCTCCTTTCCTGAGCAGATAAAAACTGCATGTCCTGTGTTGTCACATTTGGGGTGGGGTGGGGGAAGGGTGGAGGAAGAAACCAGGACTGATAGTAGCAACACCTCCCTCTTTCTTTCTTTATCTTTTTAAGAGCCAAATGAAAGGTCACCAAAAGCAAGCACGGTTTCTTTAAATTGAGACAGCCGCTCCGTGAATAAATATAATTTAAAAACAAAATAAGAGGGGGTGGAGACGGAGGCTTCGTTGCAAAGGTGTGCAATTAATACCTATCCCAACAAGTTCTTCACGGATAGCAAGATTTGTGGGAAGGGGTTACGAACCAGGAGGGCATTTGCACGGCTACTGAAGCGAGGATAGGGGTCAAGGGCTGAAGAGGAGGCATATATTAATTCGGCATTAATCAATCCCTCACACACACCCAAAAAACCCCCACTCAGACCACATGCTGGGACATTACCTGGTGTTCTTCCAGCTCCTCCACCAGCACCTGAGGAAAAAAAACATACAGATACACACACAAAGAGCGTGACGGGAGGCAATAGAGGTCCCTTCCCCACAACCCCCTGACTTAAAAAAAAAAAGCCCAGCTCCATTCTAGAACAAGACCGCCGCCGCCCCCCGACCGACCACCACCACCACCACAACCACGCTAGGTTTTGCCCACAAACCCTTCACACCTGGGCAGATTGCTTGCACGGTCCGGACTGGAGAAAGCGGGCAATTAGGTAGTACAGCTCTGAAGAGGAGAAGAAGAAGAAGAAGCCAGGTTAAAGCAGGGCGAGGGAAGCCCAAGGAAGCAGCCTCCGCCTCAGCCCCCGCGGCACCCGAGACTCACCGGCTTCCAGCTGGGTCGGGGCGGCCGCCGCCATCCCTCCTCTTTCCTCAGAAGAAGGCCCGTCAGGAAGGAGCACCGGGGGAGAAGGGAAAGGCGCCGGGGGCGCCGCCGTCGCTGCCGCTGTTGGGGATGGTCCCTGTCCCAGGAAAGGGCGGGCGAGCTGCCTGCCTGAGGAGCGGCTCCTGTTACGACCGCCCGGAACAGCCCCAGCGGCGGGGTATATATGCTGCCGCTGCCGCACGCCGCCTCATTAGCGCCTCGCCGGCTCCATATAGCCCCCGCCGCGGAGGAGGGACCGAGCCCGTGCCGGCCCTCAGACTGGCTGCTCGCCTGAAGGGGAATGGAGGAGGACAGAGAGAGGGGAGAGACAGCGGCGGCTCCGTAATTACGGGGTGAGGGGGGGGGGATAGAGAGAGAGAAGGGAAGCAGGCAGGAAGGCTGTTCAGTAGCCGAGGGAGCCTCCGGCCGCATGGGGGCGGTGGAACGGGCTGGCCTGTGGGATGCGGCCGAGGCGGCGGTCGGAAGAGGCAGGGAAGGCGGAAAAGGGGAAGGGGGCTTGGGCCTAGCGGAGCCTGAGGCCTGCGCACCCCGAGGGCCTTGGCCCCCGATTCCGCCCCTCGGCTTCTGCGGCTTGATCTTTGCCCCAGATTGGGAAGAGGTGGCCATGGTCGTCGGCTGTCAGTTTCAGAAATGTCGGCTGCTCGCTTGCTGCGTTTAATTTGTTGATTTTATCCATATGCAAAATAAAATAAAAGGTTATTATTTAAAACCCCATCCATTGTTGTTGTTGCTTTCAGGAGTGCAGGGATGCGTTTCCGAGCTCCCGATCTTCCTGCCCGACAATTATCCTCACGCAGCAGCCTCTTGAGGTAGGTTAGGCTGAAAGAAAGCCTCCCTAGCCCAGTGAGCGTCGCGGTGGAATGGGGGATTTGAACTTGGACCCCAGCCCCCCAAATTCGGTTTTGGCAGGGCATGTATGGAGATGTGGCGATCACTTGTCAGAGCTGTCAACATTTCGTGCAAGGGAGTTCAAAAAGCACACATTATTATTAACACACTAGGTGTAAAGGTAAAAGGACCCATGGATGGTTCAGTCCAGTCAAAGGTGACGGGTTGCAGTGCTCATCTCGCTTTCAGGCTGAGGGAGCTGCCATTTGTCCACAGACAGCTTTCTGGGTCATGTGGCCAGCATGACTAAACCGCTTCTGGCACAACAGAACACCATGACAGAAACCAGAGCGCACGGAAACACTGTTTACCTTCCCGCTACAGTGGTACCTATCTACTTGCATTGGCATGCTTTCAAACTGCAAGTGGCAGGAGCTGGGACAGAGCAATGGGAGCTCACCCCGTCGTGGGGATTCGAACTGCCAGCGTGCCAGTCGGCAAGCCCAAGAGGCTCAGTGGTTTAGACCACAGTGCCAACACACTACAGTCATACCTCGGGTTACAGACTCTTCAGGTTGTGTTTTTTCGGGTTACAGACGCACTGAAACCCGGATGTACCGGAACAGGTTACTTCTGGGTTTTGGCGGTCGCGCATGCGGAGAAGCACTGAATCGCAACCCGCACATGCGCAGACACAGCGCTGCAGGTTGCGAACGTGCCTCCTGCACGGATCACGTTCGCAGCCCGAGCATCCACTGTATGTTGTTGGCATCCACCTATCTTTAGAGACAATGGGAGTGAAATCAAACTGTTGTATTAGTTGCAGTGAAGCAACCTTTTCAGGGCGCAAGCCTTGGCAGTGTGTGTAGAAGTCCTGAGCTGCCCAGATGACAAGACGCACACCCTCGGCCTCGCTAATGTGGTTCAAAGGAAAGACCGGTATGTTTGGCACCAGTTTGGCTGCAGGAGCCTTAGGAACTCCACGCGTGTGTAGGACTAACTCCTTAGCCTTTTCTCCCAAAGATGTCCCACAAGGCAGCAGAGGTTTAGGATCAGAGCTTTCCTTCTCCAAGATGCATGGGCGTAGCCAGGATTTTTGTTACGGGGGCATAACCTCAGATTTGTAATGATTTGTATTTATTGATTTGGGGAGCAGCTCCCCGCCCACGCCCCCCCCCCCGCTATGCCCATGCCTAGATGGGCTACCTTCCCAGGTTGACAGGCCCCATCCGTCACTCACTTGCCACTACAGCACATGTAGAAACCACCTTGTTGACAGTCCACTCAATCCACCAGAGCCTGTCTTCACATGCAGGGGAAGTCCCTAACCAAGGGTTTGAGAGCTACTGGCGACCCTCACCTGCCTTAGCCAGCCAGTCAAAGCAGTTTCATGGGGTGTAGTCACTGTTGCATGCTGACAGCATATAGGAGCCACAGGTGAAAGCTGAGTACACATTGGGGACCAAAGGTGGGCAAACTACCCAAGAAGGAACACAATGTGTCCCCCACCAGAGGTACCAACCCACCCCATACACCCTCTTTTACACTATAGGCATTGCATTATTGAGATATGAGTGGGCTTTATTTTGGGAAATACTGGTTCCTGTGTGTGCATTGGGTTTGTATGTGTGTCTGCTGATGCACAAATAAATGATATGACTAACATTGGGTAGGCAGACCCCTAACTGATGTTCTAATTTCAAGCAGAAGGGTGGTTTTGTTGCGTTTTGAGGGGTCTGTTATAAATATTCAGAGAACATGGCTGTTTCTTCATGGCAAAAATTCTGAAGTGGGGTTTCTTAGCTTTCCATTTCCAGAAATATTTTTAGTGTAGTAGTTGCTATTATATTAGTTTAAGAGCAAAACGAGGATTGGAGGTGCTGCCTTGATTGAAGTATAGTCTTGCAAATTGGGGGGCATGGGCATAGCAGGGATTTTTGTTAGAGGGGCAGGCTTTTGTTGGTGAGCAGAACCTCAAATTTGTATTGATTTTTATTGATATTGATTGATTTGTGGGGCTGCTGCCCCTTCTTGGTTATGCCCATGGGGTGGGGTGTTAGTCTGAATACCTGGGCACTCCTAATTCCTGGATCAGCCAGGCCAGCCTGATAATCACCTGGGAGATCAGCCAGTAATAAAGACAAGGGGAAGATAATGGGCCATTAAGAAAAACAAATGGGAGGGGTCCATCCCTCAACCCAGAGTTCATTTGGAAGACAAAAGAGAATTTTGAAGTAGAGTTTTAAGCATTGCGCCTGGAATTTTTACATGATGTGAGCTGAGTAGGGGGGTTGGGCTGAGAGGTAAAGTGGGAGTCTGTAAAACACAACAAGCTGGAGAAGGAGAGTCAGAGCCATGGCTGAGGTCAGTTTGAAGCCAAGGTTGCAGCTATGGGAGAAGCAGGACCTTCTTATTTGTTCTTTGCTTCTAATTTTCCCCACCCATTCCTTTATTTTGAATATTTTCTTCTTTCGCTTCTTTTTAACTTTCCTTCTTTAAATTTGAAAACTTCCAGCAAATTTCCAGCAAAAATATGACGTTGTTCTGATTCATGTCAAATATGGCAGCATCCACTTTGCTCCTCAGGGTGCCACCCCCATTTTTTTTGCCCACTGTTGAAAGGTAGACACTACTTCTCTACCTGGTGGCACATCAAAATATGCACCATCCCATCAAGTTAACAGCTGAATATTTTTCATTTGCAAAGTAACAACAAAGCTGATTTGTGGTGAATGTGGAATAGTAGGAAAGGAGGTATCAAGAAATACCAAAAGGAGAAGGAAGTGGGTTTAGAAAGAAGGAAGTTAAAGTAAGGGAGTATTCATTCAAAGGATTACATTTTTTTTTTATTATTAAACCCCCCCCCACACACACACCCCAATTCCTTCTCAAAATCTAGAATATTTCTTCAGTTGGTTTGCCACATACTTCCTGTGCATGGTGATCATATTGCTAAATATGTCAGACCCTCCAAGGGTCCCTGTTTTCCAGGGACGTCCCTGATTTAGGGAAGCTGTCCTAGTTTCTGATTTGATCCTGGAATGTCCCGCTTCTTAGGATGTCTGTACTGTATTATCATTGGAGAAATGTTGGAGGGTATGGAGTTATCCAACCCCCGAGCTGCCTGAAGGCAATCCTGTATAGTTTTTTAATGTTTGATGTTTTATTATGTTTTTAAATGTGTTGGAAGCTGCCCATAGTGATGGGGCAATCCAATAAGATATGTGGGGTATACATAGTAGAAATATTATGGAACGGGGCATCCCTATTTTCATCAGAGAAATGTTGGAAGGCATGTTATGACTATTATTTCTCCCTTTTTCATTCTTCATACACTAACAAATTAGCTAGTATCTGTTATTATGTTGGTTTTTCATTATATTTCCAGTTTACTTATAGCATTGTTCTGATTATTAAGGTTTCATGTAAAATCCCCCCCCCCCCCCACATAAATCTTGGGACCAATAATACAGAAATGCTGTGAAGCAGTTGTTTCTGAAGAAGACGCTAATAGCAAATTGCTTATTCTAAGACATTCAGTAATTTCAAAATATCAGCCATATCCCCAGGAGCTAGGTTTGATGCTCTAGCTCAGGCATGCCCAACAGGTAGATCGTGATCTACTAGTAGATCACTGGACGTCTGCGGTAGATCACTGGTAGATCATCGGCTCCCCACAAAGAAGCTGAACAACTGTGGCTCCCCTAAAAAAGCTCTGACCTGAACCCAAAAAAAGGGGGTAAATCACTGCTAGTTTTTAACTGAGTAGATCACAGTCTCTTGGGAGTTGGCTACCCCTGCTCTAGCTGTACAAGTTGTGCATTTTATACTCAATAGGTTGCATGGCATCCTTTTTTTAATTGATACCTACTCTAGAGACCGCCCCCTGACAGCCCCGTTTTGTGTGGCAGCCCCTCTTTTTGTACAAGTGCCCCGGGGTTCGGGCGTTCTGGTTTTTTTTTCGGCTGCGGCAGCTGCATTGGGAAGGAGACGTGGGAGCTCCTTCCGAAAGCCGAGTTAGTGGTTCCTAAGCTTTGTGATGAAGACGGGTGGGACTCTAGGACCCTGCTGCCTGAAGCCAGGCAAGTCCATCCAATCTCAGCTTACGCTTCCATAGAAGGATCATCGGGATCTTTGCCATCCCTTCCCTTTCTGGCTTGGAAAGGCACCCTCGCCATAGGAAATCTCCAGGAAGCGGCATCCTCAGTGACTTCTTTCCTCTACGACCCCTCCAACGGTGCCGCTTCTTTCTTTTTCTTTGACTCCATCAGGGATTCTTACTGTGTCTCCTCCATCACCATCACCGGTTCCCAAGAGCGCTTGTCTTGCGCGCGCGCGCGCACACACACACACACACACAGGCTTAAGCAAATTGATGTTTATTTTATTTTATTTTATTGTTATTTCTCCACCACCATCATATCCCTCAATGTAAAGGGCTTGCGGCTTGTTCT